AGCCACCACGATGAGAAACCCACGCAACACAATAAGAGTAGCCCCCACCCACCGCAACTAGAGAAAAGCCCACATGCATCTACGAAGACCCAATGCAGCCAAAAATAAATAAATAAAATAAATAAATTAAAAAAATAATAATATCACCTAATAAACAGTCCTATGCAAATTTTCCCAGTTGTCCTCCAAAAATGTCTTTTTTATGTTCTTTTCCTGATCCAAGAAGGCTCACGTGTTGCATTTGGTTATGCTTTCTTAGCTTCTTTTAATCTAGAACAGTCCTGTTTTGTGTGTGCGTGTGTGACATTGGCTTTGAAGAGTCCAGGCAGGCCTTGTAGAATGGATTCTGACTTTGTCTGATTGAGTACATTCAAGTATAAGTCTGCATGGTTTTGAAACTCACCTGATAATTGCTTCGTTGTGTCTAAAAGAAGTCCCAAGGCAGAAGGTACAGTGGAGGGTAACTCCTTTGTCCCCTACCCCTGTGTGAGTCATGGGATGTCCTGTCCAGCCACCCAGAAAAAGAGGGGGCTTTAGTAACATGACATTATATTCATAAAATGCTTCAGTTGACTATGAAGAGCATTTCACTTGACCCACAGCAAGCCTAGCTTGATTGGGCAAGGCGTTCTCTTCATTTAGTAGATGGGATTCTGAGGTTGAGTTTGTGCCCAGGTGCGTGGCTTTGGCAGAACTGGACCAGAACCCAGCCCTGCTGACCCACCACTGCAGTGGCATCTGGGAGATTGGGCAGAGTTGATGCCTTTGTTGTGTTTGCCCCAGGACTGGGTAAGTTACAAGGTGGTGTCACCGAACCTCAGCCCTGGACCCAACACGCGCATCCCGGAGTGCTAGACTGAGACTGTTGAATATGCTGAATACCTGTCACCTGTCTTGATGACTCTGAGTCATGGATGTGAGTCTAGTTCCTGAGCTGTGTTCTGAGGTGTTGCTAACCCCACCCCAAATGGTCCCAGGCTGCCGTTTGGTGAATTTTTTATCCTGCACCCTCGCTGTCAGTTCTTACAGCCTGCAGCAGTGGCATGCCTCCCACTGCCCTGCTCCTTCTAATTTGCAACTTGCGTCTGCTGTGGTCCGGGAAGCCAGATAAACAGGCTTGTGAGAACTGAGTCCAAAGGCTGTGAGTGAGGGACTCTGTCCCATGGAGAGGGAAGTGTGACTGTGACACCAAAGGCCCCTCTTGGAGGCACTCGCTTCAGATTTACTTGTAGCTTTTCTGTGCTTTTGGGGATAATACCCTGCATTCTCTATTCTTGGGGTAATTTGAGGTTCCCAGAGAGGAGACCCCTGGACAAGTGGGGCGTTGGCTGTTACATGTTTCAAGTTTAAAAGGTTTGGAAAAGACTGTAACATACAGCAGGAGTGGCTGGTGGGAACAAGGAACACGTGTGCGAGTGCCAGAGCACGAGGGCCCTTTGGGTGTGGCGGCCATGACGCTGAGTGTAAGCTCGGGCTGGGGTGGGGTGAAGTGAAGGGTCCCTGGGCTCAGGCTGGCGCGCTCAACCACCACCCTCCCTGTATGTAGATCATGCTGCCTTCACCCAACTCGGCTGCATGAATCACCCCCTGAGGATCTGGGCCCATGCAGGAGAGCGCTAGGTAGCCGCACCCTGGTCTCTGGATCTCCTGGTCCCCCAGGGAAGGGTTCCTCGTGCTATGGGTCTTGTTGTTAAAGCCACATGCCTGTATTCTGCAGGTTCTTTCCGCAAGAGTTTTTCCCTCCGTCCTGTTCCCCCTAATTGTGTTATCTTGGGCAGGAGCCCACTGAATTCTGTTCTTTCTCAAAGCAGTTTCTATTCTCATAAGCGTATAAGCACGGTGCCCTTTCTGTTTCTTGGCTGAGTCCTCCAAGGAGTTCAGAGTGATCCCAATTTGACTTAACAGTGACTCCTTTGCCAAGCCTCTTTTGCTTGTTTGCTTGCATTTAATTTTGTCTTTTATCAAAGTAATGCATATGCATCTTTTTTTTATGTCAAACAGTACTGAAGGGCTTACACGGATAAAGCAGCAGGCCCCCTGCCCACCTCACTCCCCCCACTCCAGCCCTCCAGACCGGTTCACTGTTCTCAATTCCTTTTAGTTTCTCCTTTCTGTTATTCACCTCTATACTCTGAAAAAATGTTTATTCTACTGCTTCTCAATTTACCAATTTTGGATGTTACCTATTGCCTCCATATTACTGCCTTTCCTTCTAATATCGTTCTATCATGATTTGGGGGTAAATTCGTAATATAAATATCGTTCACTGCTGAGCCTAGCACTGAGCTATTACTTTTTTTTTTTTTTTGGTTGTATTAGGTCTTCATTGCTGTGCGTGGGCTTTCTCTAGCTGTGGCGAACGGGGGCTACTCTGTTGCAGTGTGCAGGCTTCTCATTGCGGTGGCTTCTCTTTGTTGCGGAGCGTGGGCTCTAGGCGTGCGGGCTCAGTAGTTGTGGTGCACAGGCTTAGTTGCTCTGCGGCATGTGGCATGTGGGATCTTCCCGGACCAGGGCTCGAACCCATGTCCCCTGCATTGGCAGGCGGACTCCTAACCACTGCGCCACCAGGGAAGTCCCTGAGCTATTACTTTTTTAAAAAGAATTCATTATTGTCCTCACCTGCTTGGTTTTCTCTATGTCTGATTCTTCCCAGTACACCAAAAGATCGAGAAAACATCTGTCAGATATTTTATCTATTAGTTCATTCATCGGTTCTTTTTTGTTTTCTGGACACTGGGGTATTTCACCAGTGAAATTCTTTCAAGCTTCTTCAAAACAAATGAAAATTTAGTTCATTTTGGTATATTAAAAAGACTCCATGCAGCTTCCTCTGAAAAGGCTTCCCTGACACACCCACCCCCTCCGCTGCCCCGCCTGCCACCTCCTGTAGGCTGCTCCTCCACTAGGCCCCCATAGCCCCCTGCTGTCACCGTCACACAGACCTTAGTGCACTAAATACAATCGCCTGTTTTCTTGCCTGTGGCCTCCCCCGCCCCCCCTCCCCCCCGCTGGGTCCTGTTCACTGCTGTCTTCCTAGGAATGCCGAGGAGCTGGTGGGCACATAGCAGGTGCTCAGTAAATATTTGTGGAATTCGCATTTGTTGGATTGAAATGCAAGCGTGATGATATGCTCCTGGTGGTTCCGTGACTTTTCTGGCCCTGAGTTCCCTTGCATTTTCTGTGTGCCCCCTTCTCCTGGCTTCCTTTCTTGGGTTTGGAGGCCCTTCTGGGCCTGTTCCAACTTAACAACAGCCTTTCCCAGGTGAAGCTAGCAAAGGCAGGGTTTTCATTCCCGGATCTGTGCTGCACCCCACCCCCATCACCCACTAGGTTGGCCTCAAGCATCTCAGGGCCTCGGATTGGTCCTCGTCGCTTTATAATCGCAGCCCACGCCGCAGAGCTCTGCACAGACTGATTGCTCAATAGATGAGTGAGGTTGAGGCTCGCTCAATCAATCAATAAACCAATCAGTCTTCTTCCACTCAGCCTCTCTGCTCCCAGGCATTTCTCATTATCCAGCGTTTGGATGATCAGAAGGAAAAAGAAACCTCTGCATAAAGGTGACCCCATTTCAGGTTTTGTCATGACTCACTGAGTATTGAGAGACAGGAAGAGCAAGAGAAGGGAAGACAAAGAGAGGGGCCAGGGACGCTCACCTGCGATCTCAGAGGGACATTTGGGAAGACATTTGGTCACTAGACTGAGGGTCGTAGGCGGGCAGGGACCATCCTGTGCACTGCTTACCCCAGAGCATAGCACAGGCCCCACACGTGGTAGACACCCCGTCATAACCGATGTCTGCCTGCAGGAAAGAGGGAAGGACAGAGTCCAGATCCAGGCCTGTTTCGAAAGAGGGACTTGAGATAGTTCGGTGTACCTACATGTGTTTTAGTCCTTGGGTCTTGGCCAACTCAGCAGAGTGCTGATCTGTGATGTGCCCACAGTGCCCACAGAGGCCCCTCCCTTGTAAGGACACTGATCCAACAGTTGGCAGCCAGTGAAGCGGACGAACCCACCACCCTCTCGCTCTCCTGGAACCACGGCCTGGCCTGAGCAGGCACTGGGCTTCCTTGAAGCAGTCCCAGGAGAGGACACCCCGTCCCAGGGCCGATTCAAAATGTCATTCCCTCCACTGGTATCCAGTGCCTCCTGAGCGGACACAGCCCAGGCTGGCCTCCAGCCAGAACAGCTGCCTCGCTCAGACCCTCCTCCTTTGCCCTCCTACCTGGGCTCTCAAACTCTCAGACTAGAGCAGGAGAACCAAGAGGGCCAAGCTGCCCACGGAGGCCAGGCTTCACCCACAGTGTCGCGGCCTGAGGCTCTCCCGGCCTTGGCTCACCCGGGACCCAGTGGGAGGAGCCACAGCGGGGCGGCCAGGACAGTGCAGGGGCGGCTGACCCTGAAATAAAGCTGATGGCCGCCGGCCTGTGCCCCCCGCTCCCCGAGAGGGAGCACTTCTCTTGTGGGTGTAGTGAGTTTCAGGGGAAGCCTTTAAAGCAGCCCTTTGATGCTTCTCCAGGGGAACTGCATTTATTTTCTGTACTTTTAGGAATTAACTTGCAGTTCCCAGCCTCTCCCTCCCTCCCTCTCTCCCCAGAAAGGAGAGAAGGAGAAAAGAAAAAAGGGTCTGCATTGTCCCGGTGATTGGCACCTTCTGTGAATGAGGGGTCACTGCGTCTGGCTGCTCCTTTTCAAGCGCTCCCTTCTCCCCTGCATGCTGTATTCACGCTGGAACATTCTTTCTTTCAAAGCTTCTGTCTTTCTCTCCCCCTTTGTATCTCTGCTTTCCTTCCCTTCACTTTTCTGCCTTTCATTCTCAGCGCTCACCAGCTCCCTCGGGGACCGCTCTCTTCTCCTTCTCTTTTTTTGTCCCTTTTCTTCTTTTTCTATTCAGTTGCTTTTTTTTTCTTTTTGCCTCTTTTTTTCTCTCTCTTTTTTTTTAAATTCTTTTTTCCTTTTTCTTTTTGAATGGTGCTTCTGTTTCTAAGGGACGGGATGAGTAGGGAAGTCGGTTTATTTGAGGAAGGGAGAATGTGGATGTTTTCATTTTCCCCCGCGCTCTAAATGTGTAAAAAAGAACCACCATGCACGACACCGGCTTACTCTGGGCTCCTCCTTTGAGAGGGGAGGCTGTTCGGGAAGGGTCTCCATCAGACCAGAGGAAGCTGTTCATCACAGGTCAGGCAGTTCCTGAATCGGTCACCAGGACAGTTGGCTACAGACCTGGTGGCACCGCCTGCAGGATGCCGACACAGCCCTGGGGACGGGCTCCCTTTCTGCGTGGCCCCAGGGCGGGCCTTGATGTGAAGGTGAGGACCAGAGGTGGATGAAGAGCCCCCAGACCTCCCTCCTCTGTGGGAGCCTGGCCTCCTGGCCGGGGGAGGGCTCAGGGAGACCGTGGGACCCTGGGGCAGGGCTGAGCATGGGGAGGAAGGCCAGGTTCACACGCGGCCTCATGGTTGTCTGGCATGGCCCCGGCTGTGGAGACAGCGGGCCTGCCTTGGCTGGCCCTGGAGTCCTGGAGAGGAGGCTGGAAAACTGGGACAGCAGAGAGGAGGGAGCTGGCAGCAGTGGCTGGCTCCAAGGAGCCGAGTGATCCTTGGGGTTGTGCTGACTGATTGAAGGTCTGACGTCTAGGGAACGTTGCAGGGCCCAGGTAGAGGCGTGGGTCTGGTGGCATCAGCACGGAGGTGAGAGTTGAAACACAGGGGAGAGGCTTTCTCCGAGGGAACCCCTGTAGGACGAGAAAGCAGAGGCCAAGGCCTGATGAAGGAGGCAAAGGAGAGGCAGAGATAGAGGGCAGCGCGACCGGCCGGAGCCAAGGTGGGGAGGCAGCTGTTGCCTTGTCGGGGAGAAGACCCAAATCAGAGCCTCTGTTTGCAGGGCTCACCTGTCACCTTCCAGAGGACAGTTTAGCTTCAGTAGAGGAGACAGAGAGCAGGGGTGGAGGAGGCGATGGAGGACGGGGACCCGACCCCCGCTCAGGAGGTGGAGAGAAGGCAAGAAATTGGGGAGTGTCAGGGGCTGCACCTAGACATCGAAAGCCATATGAGAGGAGCAGGGCTGCCTGAGAGGCCGGGGCAGGCCTGGAGGACAGAGGGGTGAGGTCTGGGGGCCTATTTCTTCCCTGTGGAGGGACGGCCTCAGCCTGCAGGTCTGGAAGTCCCTTTGCACCCTTTCAGAACACAAGACAAAGGGCCAAGTCTGCAGCTCTGGTCCCCGGGACATAGGGACCTCAGTCTAGCTCACAATTGCCCAGGGACCCCAGGACGGTGCCAGGGCACCTGGAGAGACACAGGGATCTCTGGGAAGGAGCCCTGGGGTGTGTGTCCTGGGTGAGGTGGAGCTTGGGCTCCAGGCCCGAGTGTCCTGGCACAAGCTGCCAGGCCTTGAGGTCTGGGTTGAAGGGAACCTCCCAAGGGTAAGCCCTGTATCTCCATCCCACCCAGCACAGCTGGCCCGTAGTAGGCGCTTCATAAATGTTTGTTTTATATTTTCTTTTTTTTTTGGCCGCACCACGCGGCATGTGGGATCTTAGTTCCCCAACCAGGGATCAAACTCGTGCCCCCTGCGTTGGAAGCGCAGAGTCTTAACCACTGGACTGCCAGGGAAGTCCCTCATAAATGTTTGTTGAAGTGTCAATTGAATTTGTCCTTAGCAGCCAAGTGCTATGTAATTGGAGAGCCCCCCCAAAAAGGAGGGCCCCATCCCCTACCCACTCAGGGCACAGGACCCCCCCCAAACAAAACTGGGGCAGGGTCCCAGCCACATCCGTGGAGGAAGGTAGAAGGACAAGTCAGCACCAGGCACAGAGGGTGGCATGAGCAGGACAGGTGGGGACAATGAGAAGGCTCATTGGAGGAAGAACGTCAGGGAGGTGGATCTGAACCCCCCGAGGGATGGTTTATTCAGGGGACACGGGTGGAGCACCTACTGTGTGCAAGTTCAGTGGATGACATACCCTTCGGGAGGAGGACAGCCTGGGGCTCCAAAGGGCTGGGAAGAAGCTGTGTCCTCCCTCTGAGTCTGGGTGACCGAGACAGGTGAGCTATGTGGGTGGAGGTAGCAAATCCTGCCTCCACGGATGTAGGGATTTGTACTCCTGAGAAGGGATGGAGATACCCAGCGAGCAGACACCATCCCTTGCAGCATCTCCCTGGGTGCTACCACTGCCCCCCTGGCCCTGCCAGCCTCTTAAGACACCTTGCTGCCAAACCCAAGCCTGCCAGGGCGGGCCTGGCTGCTCATCAGGTTTTTCCAGTTTGGACAAGAACATCTCCTTACACCCCATTAAGGCAACCACAGCACCCTGGCCTAGAGATGAAAGGGGAGCCTGTGAAGGCAGCTCGCTCCTGGCAGGAGCAAGAGGGTCTGTATTTGTGAACAGGCTTCGGAGACAGACATGTTTCCTGAGTCCCCCGATTCCAGGGTGGCAGAGGGCCTGATGGTCAATCCCCCCTTTAAGACCTGGCGGCAAGGAGCTGGCTCTTCTAGTAAGTCTCTTTGTGGCCCCAGGCAAGTTTCCGAATGCTAATAATAGTAGCAAACAGGCTGCCAGGTTCTGCTATAAGCGCTTTGAATATTTTCATTTGTGAGGCAGGTGCTGTCAGCACCACTCCCCCTTTAGTCAGGAGAAATAGTCACAATGATCGGAGGTAGCAGAGGTGGGATTCAAACTCAAGCCTTCAGATTCCAGAGTCTGGACACTAAACCAGTACTTCTCAACCTGTTTTTAAACTATTATTATTATTTCTAATCCTTGCAGACTGATAACTTATCAACCTTGCCTAGATACCATGGCAACGTCAAATTGCTGTAAAAGTTTCTAAATGCTGCTGCTTATCTCTGTGGAAGCAGTCACAAGGAGCGCACTGTTATAAAGGCGTTCTTAACCTTTCCGTGCCTCAGTTTCCTTATACGTAGAATGAGGGGGGTGGTACCAGTACCAACCACACAGACTGTGGTCGCTATTCGATAATGCACTGAGAGTCGGCACAGGCTGGCACTGTAGCTCTCAGGACCGTCAGCCAGTCCACTAACATCAGGATTTTGCCACCTATCGAATGGGAATAAGAGCACTGCCCACACAAGTGCTGCCCATACGGCTGGCTGCTCAGACCAGGTGAGGAGGACCCAGTGGCATTGTGCCTGGAAAGGACTTTGTAAGCCGTCGAGGGCTCTGCCCGTGGAGGTGGGTGTGCTCGTTCCCCTGCCCAGCCTGTGTTTCTGGGTCCCAGAAGAACTTGTTTCATTGTGCACTTTGACACTCAGATCTGGGGGTGTTCGGAGGAGGGAATCCACTGAGCCTCTCAGAGGAGGTCCTGAGTGTTCCTGACCCTTGCCTGCCTCCTGGCCGGTGCACATGTAAGCGTGCATGGTCTTCACACAAGAAGCTTCCTGGGCATTTTAGTTTCAAGGAATTGAGGCCAGCACAGGGGTCTTATTCTCGGAATCTCCCCTTCACCCTGTGACCTATCGGGGCTCTGTTTGCTAAGGGTGAGTCATCCCAGCTATTAGTGGTGAGACTGAGAAGGTGCCCAGTGATCCCAGAAAGAGACTACATTCTGGTGAGGAGAGTTGGGTTTTGTAATTCTCTTAGAAATTTGGTCTTTTGAGCTACCCCGTTGAGTTGCAAAATTTCACGAAAGAGAAAACATCTGGCATCTGTGATGAAGGCTTCTCCACGTGTCCCAGGAAAGGTCTTCCCACCTCTCCACGGCTCCACTCTGGGTTCTGGGGCCCAAGGGACTCTCACGGCCCCCTCAGGCAACCCAGGGGTTCTTGTGTGGGCCAAAAACTTGAGCTAGAACCTTCCTTCGAGACGGGGTTCAATTCCAGCATGTCTCCCCTTGCACCTGATTTGGTTACTTTTTCTTCCTCAAAATCGCTGCTTTTTCCAAATGTTCATGCACTTACCACTCCTTTATGGGATTTATGACAGATATTTTTAGTGACAGTAAGAAAATATCAAATATTTCGGGGCCGTAGGTGATTCACATTGTGTGTTTACATATGTTGCAATGGTAAGAGCGAAAAATTACCATTTATCAAATGGCAGCACCTGTGCCAGGTCCTTTCATTCACATCATCTTGGCCATCCTGTGGGAAAGGCAGCTGTCATTCCCATTTTACAGTTGAGGAATCTGAGGCTCTGAGAGATGAAGCAACTTGCTCAAGGACTTACAGCCAGGAAGTGGCCTAGCTCACTCCAGACCTTCCTGCTGCCCTCAGCCAAGGGGCCCCACCCTGCATTCCACGGCCTGCCCTGAGGACCCTCAACCCCACAGGCTGTCCCCACCACAGGGGGAGTGGTGAGGAAACCTTCCAAGTCCACCGCAAACATCTCTAGCGATGGCCAGACAATTAGCTTGTTTTATAATGGTCACCTCCATTTAAATCATTTTGGCCTTTGGGTCACACACCACATGCATTTGAACTTTAGCGGCTGGGGACGCATGGCCCAGAGCTCAGCCTTCTGTAAGTGAGTTCTCTCTCTCTCTCTCTCTGTATGTATATATATATGTGTGTGTGTATATTTGGCTGCAGTGTGCCGGGTCTTAGTTGCAGCGTGCAGGCTCTTAGTTGCGGCATGGATCCCTGATCAGGGATCGAACCCCGACCCCCTGCATTGGGAGCGTGGAGTCGTAACCATTGGATCGCCAGGGAAGTCCCAAGGTGAGGTCTTCTAATGGGCCTCAGAGTCATCCTTTATGATCCAGATCAAAGAGGAAACCAGTTCCCACTCTGGGCTGAGCTGGCCACCCTGAGCACCTTCTCCTCTGATGTCTGTGGACCCACCCTCCTCGAGGGACCTGCCCTCAAGGCCCTCCCAGGCCCCACTGCCCTCCGGTTCTCCTCCCACCTCTCGTCCAGCCTGTGGATGAGATTCCCCCTCCCTGTTAGCTCCTGGTAGTGTACAGACCCCAGCAGGGCCTGTCTGTGGTGCCCCCGTCCTCTTCCCCCTGCCTTCTCTCCGCAGTCTCCCCTAAACCTTTTATCTCATGTCTGCATCATGGGCTGCCCCATGCCCCCACATGCATCCTCCCGGCTGGACTGCAAAGTACTCAAGACCGCGGGCATCCACCCATCATGTGGGTCCTGACCCACATCTCACTGTGTGAAAGTGTGGTTCATTGGGTGACTAAGGAAAGAATGGGCTGCACGGTGTTCCTGCTTGCCGCTGATGTTAGCTTGCATGGACAGCTGTATGCGTCTGATGTCTGCGTGTGTACACTCAGCCTAAATGTTTCCCCAGCTGTCCCTCCCCTCAGGAGATACATGGAGGCATTACGTGAATGAGAGAGGCATTCTTTACTCCTCTCCTGGCATAAATCCGTACTCGACTTGGGTGTGTGGGTGACTGCAAAATAAATGTTGATTACAGCATCAGCTTCAGGAGGCAGACGCTGCCAGGGACGCTGCTGGGATGGAGGCTGGGGATGAATCACGCTGGCTGCTGTGAGAGAGGAGAGGCCAGGCCACACTCCTCGGCTGTTCTCGGCCCACTGCTCTTCTGCGTTTTTACCTTCCCTTCATCTCTGGCTGCATCAGATGGGGGAGGGGGCTTCCCAGCCAGGTTCTCCCATCTCTAGGCTTCCCCATCCCCTCCGCACAACCTTTGTGTACTGCATACCACAGAACATGCTCATTGGGCTAATGGGCTCAGCTCTGGGAAGTGGGACCATCATCCCGTGTTACAGATGAGGGGACTGAGGCTCACCCAAACCAGTGTGTAAGGGGGTGGGGCTGGACCCCTGCTGCCCATGCTCTGAGTCTCTGTTGACTCCCAAAGTGCTGGTTTACATGCAAGAATGTCCCTGACCCCTTAAATTTAAAAAAAAGCGATTACTCTGTCCTTTTGTGGTACCCCATGCATTTTGTGCTTATTTCTTCTCTGATATCTTGCTGTCCTGTTTCATGGTTCTTAGTCTTGTCTCTCTAACCAACATGTGAGGTCCCTGAGAGCAGGGAACTTTGTGTCCCGCCAGCAGCCAGCACCAGCCTGGCCCAGGGAGTGGATGATGAACGGAATGATAACAATAGCAACAGCTCCCAGTAATTGAGTCCTTACTATGCACCAGCCTTGTTATCAAACTCGTCTCAGTCGGGCTGACTGTACTATACCAGTTTATATAAGGGACTTGAACATTTGCAGATTTTGGTATCCACTAGGGTCCTGGAACCTATTCCTCATGGATACCTGTATTTCCCTTATTTCCTTTACCTGAAAGAGCACTTAAGTTGACCCAAGAATGAAACCTGAACTCCACTTACTCCTCTCGTGTATCTGGTGACTTTGGATGAGTCACTCAACTCCTCTATGCCTTGGTTTCCTCCTCTGTAAAGTGGGTTTGTTATCAAGATGGCATGCTTTCTGTACATGATTTCATCAGGCACAAGCCTGGCCAGAAGGAAGGGCTCAGTATGTGATGGATCCTTTTCATATCACTGTCCCCATCTTACAGCAAGGAAACCAAGTCCCAGGGAGGTTGAGGAACTTGCCCAAGGCCGCCCAGCTCATATGTGGCAAAGATGGGGAGGCCGGCCAGGCCTGCCAGACCGAGAGCCGGGTTCCTTTCCGCTCTGTTTGTTTGCGGCGTGAGGGGCTGTCCTTCCCCGTTCCCCCTCCCCCTCTGTTGCTTCCCATCTCTTCCTCCTCGGACCCTGCTCCCAGAGTTCCTGAGGTGCTAAGCCAGCCCTTTAGGGGAGAAGCAGAGCTGTCGTGTCATTGACACCTCCCTGGGCTTGGCAGGCCTGGGTTCCTGGGCTTTGCTGCGTCCTGGGGCCGGGCCTTGCCAGCCGCCCCTGACGGGGCTGGCCGGGGCTACTCCAGGGGGGCCTTTGGGTCCCAGGACTTAGCGGCCACTGATACTTCCCCCCTGGTCAACAACACATCACAGCTCCAGCAGACGCTCACACTGCCTGTGGGGCTCCTGAAGGTCCAGGGCCCCTTTCTTCTCCATGTGGTTTTGGTTTCCCAGGGGACTTGATACCATTTTCCACAAGCCCCTGTGTTTTCTCTGTCGCTTTGAGACACTGGGGCCCCAGCCACGATCGGCTTGCTTTGTTTTCTGTGGTAAATCTGTTTCTCTTGTCACTTCTGATCACTCCAGATTAAACACAGAAATGTAGAAGGCAGGGGCTGGGGAGGCTGGGCGCAGGATTGGTGTGACCCTCCCCTCCGGGGAACACAGGAAGAAGGAAAGTAAAAGGGGAAGAGCATGATTTTAACCTGCTCAGATCCCACCTTTACCTCCTATTGGCTCTGTGACTTGGACAAGTAACAGCTTTTCCAAGCCCCAGTTTGCTCATCTGTAAAATGAAAATTAAAATGCTCATCTCCCTGGGATGGCCTGGATCGTGTGCCTGTTCATTAGTATAAGCTCAGTTAACGATGGCTAAAAAGAAGTTAGAAAAAACTGACAACCCTTCCTCCTGCCTTAAACAGTGGAGACAGACACATGGGTCAGACAGCCCACATGTGGGTGCTTCCTTTTCTCAGAGGCCGTTTAGGATCACAGCGAAAGAGTGAATTTTGAAGAATGGGTGTGAATCTCACTATCCTGTTTGGAGTGAGGAGAGCTGGGTACCTTGAGCATTGCTGTGTGCCCCAGCCTTGGGCCAGGCCCTGTGTCCCATTCACGCATTCACACAAGGCAGGGTGGAGCCTGGAGGAGGTATGGGGCATGGGGCAGTGTATGCGTGGACTTTCCCTGAACTGCAGTGAATTCCTGCAGAGGGATGCTGGGCCCCCACTTAGCCCTGGGTCTAGGTCCGGCCTTGTTCTCTCCTGAGGGGGCCTCTGGCACCTCCCCTAGCCTGGCCTCAGAGGAGCAGGGCCAAGCCCCTTAGGGTGCCTTCCCCCAATGAGCCCTTGCCCCCTGGACACCTCCCATCTGTGTTTCCTTCCTCCCTGCGGTAAGTGAGGTCAGTAGAGGGCCTGCATGGTGGCAAGGCAGGGGGTCCATTCTGGGATCTGTCTGAGTCTAGCCCTTGGAGAGAACCCAAGAGAAAGAAGGCTCGGGCTGATGAAATGGGGTTTCTTTTTTTCTCCTTTCTTTCTTTCTTTTTTTTAAGCAAAGAGATAAATAAATGTCGCCCTGAGATGACAAGAGAACATTGAAAGAGATAAAAGGCGAGTAAAAGGGACTAGAGACCAGAAGCAAAGGACAGGGAGGGATTTGGACTATACACTGCGATGAGGGGAGAGATGAAAGAGGAAAGAAAGAGATGGGAATGCAGGACCGAGTGGCAGAGCGGAGGATGGGGTTGCCACGGAAACGGAAGGAGGGAGAGGAAGACAGGATGGAGAGGGCTGAGAGCTCAGTGCGGGCGGGGCCTGAGACAAGGCTCAGGGAGGAGGAAGGGAAGCCATGAGGGGCTTCCAGGTCTGAATCAGGCCCCGGTGTGGAGAAACTGAGGTTGGCAAGGGAATAAGACCGGACCCAGAAAACTCATCCTCGCCCAAAGGTGGTAGGGTGGAGAGAGCTGGGCCTGGGTCCCCCGGGGCTGACCCAGCTGGGGTCTTCTCTACCCTACCTGTCAGGGACTGCCACTCTTTAAGCCTCAGTTTCCACAACCGTAAAACGGAAATGGTACTCCCAACCCCAGAGGGCTGCCTAGAAGCCTAGAAATTGCACGTGGGCCTGACAAAGTTCAAGCCCAATAAATGCTCCCGTTGTTCCTTCATTTGTGGTTCTTATCTTTGTCTGTGAACTTGTGAGCCCAAGTTTTATTTGTTTTTCCCTGTTAACATTAAGCTGGTGATCTTTGGGTCCAGCAGAGTGTACTTGTTTGGAGGATAGATGTGCTTTTTGCTTCTGGAATTGGAGAAGAGACACAGAGCCTTCCAGAAACATGAGACCTGCTGTCCTTTCCCCTGGGAACAGGGACTAGTCCTGAAGTTCAGGGAAAGGAAGTACAGACTTGGGGATTTCCACCTGGGGCTCGGCAAGGGGCCTCTTTTTTCTTTGCACTTGAATATGGATATTCTCAAAAGGGCAACAATTCATTCTGTACGTGCACTCTGCTAGGAATGCACTGTGAGCACACGGACGAGTTCTCTGTCCTCTTGTAGAATCTGTGATCTAATGGGGACACCAGACATTGAGCGAGTACTTATACAATCAAATCTGTCATTAAAAATTGTGATAAAGCCCAGGAAGGAAAAGTATTAACCTTATAACTGCTTAGAACTTGGGGGTCCAGACCTGGTTGGGGAGAGGGGCGTCAGGGAAGGTTCCTGAGCAAGTGATGCCTGATTGAAAGCTGAAGGATGAGGGACAAGGAACAGCATTCTAGGCACGGGGAACAGCATGTGAAAAGGCCTCATGCAGGAAAGTCTGTTATAGAAAATGAGGAAAGCCCACGTGGCTGGAGGGTGATGAGTAAGGGGACAAGCAAAGTGCTGTGAAGTTGCCACATAAGCAGGGGCCAATCAAGCAAGTTCTTACAGGTCTTTGGTAACGTGTCTGGACTTGATGCAGGCCAACAGCCTGGTAGGGGAGCCCAAGTATGTGGGGTGGCTGCCATGTTTGACGTGGATGGATGGATGGAAATGCACCGGGAATCAAGAGCTCTCAGTTTGGTCCCCATTGTGGGCTGGGAGCCTTGGGGGCCTCAGTTTCCACATCTGTAAAATGACAGCATTGCACAGGAGGGTCCCCAAAGTTCCTTCCAACCCTGCTGATGAAGATTCTAAGACCAACCTCGAGGGTACACAGCCAAAGTGGCCTGGGCAAAGGACCTTCAGTGAGGCCACTGTCCTGCTGTGGGAGAGCCCAGCTTTCCTCCTTTGTGACAAGTGAGGGGTCAGGCAGGAGGACCCAGGGCCCACGGCTTCTGGGTACCTGGCAACTTCAAATGAGAGGCATCACATCACTCCTTTACCCGCATCCACGGGAAGTGGACATGTGCTCAGTGTGCGGCTCTGCGGGAAGCTCAGCGTTTGCCCCCAGCAGTTAGTGTGGCAGATGCCCTGCTAGTCTGGGCTCATTTCTACAAGGGTCAGGGACCCACTCAGTTTTCCTCAGGACACAGGGGTCAGCGAGGGTTCCCCAGGCCGGCAGCAGGGGCTGGCCCCATCCAGGGACCAGGGCTCCCCAGGAGCCCACAGGCTTGCTTCTCTGGACACACTTGCTCCCTCCTCCTCGGCCCGGCTTGCTTAGGGTCTCTGTCCCCTGGTCCCGACTCCACCTCACGGCATGCCTTCACGTAGTCTTTGGTTGAGAGTGTAAGGCTTGGTGCATAGCCGCGTTTCCAAGAGAGGAACCTGCTTGGCCTTCAAGGCCAGGTCACGTGAGAGTGCTTGTCAGCTCTTACCAATTAATTTCGAGAATCAGAATAAATTGGGGTTGTTTGGGGGAAATACGATGTCCAGGCTCCAGACCCAGAGATTCTGGTTTAACTGGCCTGGGGTGAGGCACGGACACTGGTGCTCTCATCAAACAATGCCAGTTGGACCCTGTGGAGCCAGTGTCTCTGCCCTTGGAGGAGTTTGAATTGTGAGGTCTCATGAATACAGCGGCCAAGATTGTGCCTTTCGCCATGGGGACTCCATCCCTCCGTTCCTAGGGTTTAGGGGTCCCTGTGACCTCCCTGGAGGAGGGGCCCTCACACAGTGGCCGCTCTGTGGCAGCCAGGAGTGCCTCAGCCCAGCTCACCTCAGCTTGTAGAGGCAGAGGTGTGGCTCCCAGGATGGGTCTCGGTGCCCCAGGCCTGGGAGAGCAGGAGGGGAAGCGCTTTCAGAACAGTCCTCGCTGTCATAGGGCTGGAGGGACCTCAGTGCTCCTGGGCCTTCTCTGCGCAGCCTGGAGGCCACCCCAGGGAGGAGGCGGGACTGTCCTGGAGGTGAGATGGGTCAGGGCGTGGGGAAGAACCCAGCATTTGTAGAACTCTTCTGCAAGGAGGCAAGGATTTCCCCTCAGTCTCATTCATTCATTCATTCATTCACTCGTTCCGGGTCCTCGACGACTAGGCTTCCTCCCTTCCCCTTTCCCTGCCCTGGCATCTTTCTCTCCGGACACTCCCCTGCTGGGCCCTCTCTGCCCCTCCCTGCAGTCACCATCCTCTGGGGTGGATGTCTTGGGGGGGGAGATGGCCCATAAACAGATACAACTATGAATCAACATGATTTTATCAGCGTTCTCTAGAGAAACAGAACCAGCAGGATATATACACACACACAGAGATTTATTTTAAGGAATTGGCTCACACGATTGTGGAGGCTGGCAAGTCCAAAATCTGCAGGGCAGGCTGGCAGGCTGGAGACCCAGGCAGGATTTCTGTGATAACAGTCTTGAAGCAGAATTCCTTCTTCTCTGGGAAACTTCCGTTTTTCTCTGAAAACTTCAACTGATTAGATAAGACCTGCCCACAATAAGGAGGGTAATCTGCTAAAGTCAACAGATTGTAGATGTGTTGCTGTGTGGCTCACAGCAACATCTATCAAGAGATTAGCGTTTGGCCAAACAACTGGGCACCCAGCCTAGCCACATGTAAAATTAACTTGATGTTCTCAGGCTGTGGAAGAGGCCCTCCTCGCCCTGCCCCTGGCTAAGGAATATCTCCCGAGAGGCAGTGCCTGCACTGACTCGGAAAAGATGAAGGGATATTCACCCAGTGCAAGGGAAGGGCAAGTCCTGGCAGGGGAGTCAGGCTGTGCAAAGGCCCCGAGGTAGGAAACAGCTCCATGTATGTCTGTGTTTGTGTGTGTGTGTGTGATGCAGAGGGACAGGAAGGCTTAAAGGAGGGTCAGGTAGAGCTTGGCTGGGGACAGCCTTGGGCAGTCAGCTAAGGCACAGAAACTTCATCCTATAGGCCATGTGGCTGAGGGTGGGCTTCCGGGCGGAGACCTGCTTTACCAGCATTTCACTGTGCGACCTTGGACCAGTCCCTTCCCCTCCCTGAGCCTCAGTTTCCTTTTCTGGAAAAGGAAGTAGCCATACATGGTGAACGTCAGGTCCTCCTGTGGTTTGTGGGTTGGTGGCCCAGCCACTCTGGCCTCTGGAGGCAGGGCTTAGCAAATCTGTCCACAGAGAAAAGGGGAAGCTGAGGCAGAGAGAGGCCCCTATAAGAAGGAGACTCATACACTTCCCCCTTGGCCACCCCACCCCCAACCCAGCTGCCTCGTCAGCGCTGGGCCTGGAGCTGCTGAGTCGAGTGAGGCCTTGTGGGCTGGACAGAAGTGAGACTGTGCAAGGAGCTCTGAGGTTTGCACAAACCTCCAGCTTTTGCTTTCGCTTCCTCTTCCTTTCATGGGATGTGAGCAGAGTTTACCCTTAAGTCTACCATCAGGGGGACATGAGAGGAAACAAAGAGGGTGGTTTTGCTATAAGTTGAAGTCCCGTGAGTGGTTTTTTTGTTTGTTTTGGGGGGTTTTTTTGTTTTGTTTCGTTTTGTGTATTTTTTTACAGCTGTGTGCGTACCTGGACCTCCTTTTCCCCTCCCTGGGCCCAGCTACCTGTTCTGCCCCACTCTGGGTTCAGTTTTTCAGGACCCAGGGGCTGCTCCACTGGGCCTGTCCCCACCCAACCCCAGCGCTGCACCTCCTACCTCCCAAAGATCCTGGCGCTTCAGGTTTTAGACTGAGCTCAGAGCAGCTCCCTGAGGATGGGAGCTTATCATGCTTTCTACTGTATCCCCAGGACGAAGAATGGCACCCAGCACCTGGCAGGTGTGTTGAGTCAGTGATTCAGTGGCAGGACTGGAGACCACAGCCTCAGAGTCGCCTGGTGGTTCAAAGCCAAGGGGCGAACGTTTCCCCCTAGCAGAAGCCCAGGGCACTGCGGGGCCTGTGTCAGGGAGCAGGCCCTGGCACTTGCTAGGCCCTCAAAAATAGTCATCAGGGTGCTTGGTGACATCCCAAGTCTGGGCTCACAGAAGCCCCAGAGCATTCCTGTGTCTTAAGTTTGAGATGTCCTGGTGGTGAGCATGAGGAAAAGCATAGCCAGGTGGTCACCAGGCCATATTGGTTCTTCCTTCCAAATGGCTCCTGTCTCGCCAGCCCCAGGCCAGACCAGGCCTCAAGTGCTCTGCCCCACTCTCTGTGTTCCAGAGCTACTCAGAGCTCCCTGACCCTCCCCTGGTGCTTGAAGGGGGTCTCAGTGAGAGGAAAGGATCTTTTAAAGCAGTGTGGATGAGAAAAGGTCTCGTCTTGGGGAGGGGACCCTGGAAGACAGGCAGGTAAGCCAATGGATTAACCTGCCCTCAAGGTTCCAAGAAGCCTCTTGTGTCCATCTTACAGATGAAGAAACCGAGACCCTGAAGGGTCAGGTGACTTGTCCAGGGTCACATAGCAAGTCACTCATTAATTCATTTGACAAGCTTGTGTCAGTGTTTACAGGAACCATAGTACAGCAATAGATGAAGCAACAGTGAGAGGTCTGGAGGACCTGGGTCCCTGCCTGGGTTGGGGAGACCTCCTGCTGGGCCTCAGGGGATGAGACTTGGGTCACTCCCCAGGGCTGGCCTGGCGCTCAGGCTTGGGAGGGGGTGATGCTAAGCCCTGGGAAATAGGGCAGCCCTGGGCTTCTGGTGTCACTGACACAGTCCCCTCCTTTCTCTCCACTCTACTCCTTCCCCTCCCCCTCCCCTGCTTTTGTTTCTTGGCCTCCACAGCCCTTCTCTCTCTCTCTCTCTCTCTCTCTCTCTCTCTCTCGCTCTCTCTCTCTCTCTTTCTGCTATGGCCTCCCTTCCCCCTACTCCCAGTGCAAGTCTTTAAACTACAATCAGGCAGTGATTCCATTTCCTCTATTTCCCTGCCTTTGCCATTTCCTTTCTCTCCACCCTGGGGACCGAGGGTGTCCTGGTAGGAGGCTGAGCTGCATCAGCTCTGATGGCCCCTCATCTCATAGTCCAGGCTGTGCAGAGCCCGCGGCGGTCTGAGCTCCCCTTTCTCTTGGACATCGTAGAGAGCTTTTGTTCTGAACCCACGGCACAAGAGGGGGGAGAGAGGCCTTGCCCTGAGAAAGGAGGTGCCACGGGGGGCCCAGGAAGATGACAAAAGGGTCCTTGAGGTGTGGGGCCCGCCCTGGCACACAGGTGGGGCGCACCTGGTGGGCTCTCGTCCTGCCCTGAGCAGCCTGTGCCAGGACATAAAACGGGAGAGTTGTGGCCTCTGAGAAGGGGGGGGGACCAAAAAGATGGCCCAGGAGGAGGGGGAATAATGGCACCAGGGTTGCAGAGCCACCAGTTTCCCACTCCCTGGCCCTGTGTGTGATAGGCGGACTGACACATATGCGAAACGCAGGTGAATTAGATTCCCTCTGTCTTCGTTCTTCCTTCTGTCCTCTTTCTTCTGTCGCAACAAACAGAGCCCCTCCTACACACATGAGCACACACACACACACAGCCTGCCTGGCTGCCCCAGTGAACACTGAGCCCCATAAGCCCCTTAAACATGTATTTACAGGGTGATATGTGTCTGGTCAGGCAAGTATCCACCCAGCAAAAGAAAGCAGGGGCCTGACGGGCCAGATGGGCAGATGGGTTGATGGAGGCTCCCAGGAAAAAGTGCTTTTTGAGTGGAGACCCAAGGAAGGGCTGTGGCTGCCCTCGAGGGGGACCCCAGTTCCCCAGTCCGGCCGGAGCCTTGGACCAGCCAGGCAGGGACAGGTCTGAGGCTTTATGCTGCAGTTTGCCCAGAGCCTGCCCGTGCTTTGCTGCTGGCTCCTGGGAGCCTGAGGTGGGCAGGGCAGCACCTGGGAGCTGAGGAGGCTGGGCTCAGAGCCGTGACGTGACCTCCCAGGTTGCACAGAAGATGCAGTGGAGCCTGGATGGGGCCCGCGTGCTGACCCAGCTCTGCCCTCACTGCGAGGGCACTCTTGAGCTTGCTGTTGGTACTTATGCCCCAGATTCCTGGGCTGTGCAGTGTGGCGCTCACTACCTCCACCCCCACGCCGCCCCCATGGCATTGTTCGTAGGATGGAATGGCTTTCCTGGGACCTGGTGAGCACTCAGGCACCACCTTTGTGGTTAGTTGTTGGCACCTCTGTGTCCCCGCACGTGGGCTCGAACCCCTTGAGAGCAAGGACTGGGCAGGTCCCCGTTTACACCCAGGCACAGGCTCCAGTCCTCAGCCCCAAAGTGAAACCTGCCACCTGTCCCTGCAGGAGGGGGACACGTGGTGGCCAAGGGCAGGTTCGGCTTGCACCTGGGATCCTGGTGTGAGCCTTAGGAGTGGCCCCTTTCACTCTTAGAAGGTCCCTCCTAACAGGGATGGAATGTTACATGATCACCCTCCATGTAGAGGACCACAGCAGACCTGTGCTCCAGCTCCCACAGGCTGACACTGGCTGACTCTTTCGCCGACTCATCTGCCAGTAGAGTGATGTTATGGGTTTCTTTGCTCCCGTTCCCTTCAGCTGCCAGAAGAGGGGTGGTGCCAGGGACTGGGGCCAGAAGAAGAGCACAGGTGAGGGAACTAACATTTCCACTGGGATCCTCATCTCATCTCCTCAGCACCCCAGGACTCAGGCACCATATCCCCCTCCGCAGAGATGAGGAAACTGAGGCTCAGGATGTGACAGGATATACCTGAGCTAGAAAAGGATATTGTCCAAATTTGAATTTAGAATCCAGGGCCAAGTCCTAGCACAGGCTCCGCTGTTGAGGGTCAGCCCCTCCCCTCCGCTGGCCCTGCCTTTGAGGAAGTCTAGACAAAAGTGCTGAGCTGCTTGTTTTCTCAAACCCACAGCAGACATGAGGGCTGCTGCTGGGTGCTGCTGGGCGCTGTGTCAGATGGGCCGCTGCCATCCAAGGCAGTGATGCTCCCCCACAGGGACTCCGGCGGGCACAGGGGTCATCTCATCTCCCTTACATCTCCAAGCACAGGGCCTGACCCAGGGCAGGGATTTAGCAAATATTTGCTGCACTAATCAGTGGATGTGCTCTTAGTCTCTAGAGGCTGTCGCAGAATCACCCAAACCTTTGCTTGAATTTCGGGCCCCAGAATGGAGAAGTCTCTTAGCTCTGCGGTTTTCATCAGAGATCTGGACAGATAAATAATAGTGACTCTTTACATTTGGTGAGGGCTTTATAATTAACTAACCCCTTCATCTACGTTCTGACCTCTGGGCTCTCACAACCCTACCATGGGTAGGTGTTTCCATCCCCGTTTTTGGACAGGGAAACTGAGACGCAGAAGTGACTTTGAAGTGACTTTGCTTAGTCACTTGTACACGACAGAGCTGGGACTTGAGGCCAAGCTCAAGTTGGGTGCTATTTCCAGTAGGGGGTGGGAGGTGGGCTCTGAATCAGGGCTAACCCCCCAGCCTGTTCCCGGTGGACCCAAAGGTTTCCTTCCATCTGACCCCTTCCATGAGAGCCCTGGTTTAAGCTTAATAGTTTAATCTTTAGTGTCTGTTTCAAGGAGGCTAAATTCCTCCCTGGGGTATTTTATTTTTAGCCGGCTTCAGGAAGGGGAAGCTCCTCTGGCCTGTGGGGGGAGGGAGGCACCAGGCTGGGAGCTGGTTTCCTGAGGAAGGGCCGCCGCCGGCCATGCACCTGACCCTGGCCCTGGGAGAAGAGCCAGCAAGGCAGGCAGGAGCCACCCCAGTCCTGTCTTCCTTTCCCCTTCCTTATGGGGTGCCTCTGATGTGCTGTGCTGGGCACTGAGCTGGAGGCGGGGTACAATCTGATGAGTATCCCAGGCCAGGGAGGAGGCCCTTCCACATCCGGGCTGGCGGGGAGGGCTGGGAAGCCCCAGGAACAGGGGGAATTTGAGGGAAGCCTGGGGCGCTGGTGGGAGGAGCCGGCAGCTCACCGGGGTTGGGGTTGGGGAAAGGGCACCTGGGTGGGAGAATCCCTGTGCAAAGGCCGGGCTACACGGAGGGCACTGGTGCACCTGGAGCGTCTATGAAGGCAGGAAGCTGATGCACCGGGGGTTGGACCCTGATAGGTGGACTCATTGGCTTTTTTAGAAACACCTGTTGGATCAGAGCGCATAGCTGTGAACCTGGGAGCCAGTTTTTTTTTGTTTTTTTTTTTCTGCGGTACGCGGGCCTCTCACTGTTGTGGCCTCTCCCGTTGCGGAGCACAGGCTCCGGACGCGCAGGCTCAGCGTCCATGGCTCACGGGCCCAGCCGCTCCGCGGCATGTGGGATCTTCCCGGACCAGGGCACGAACCCGTGTCCCCTGCATCGGCAGGCAGACTCTCAACCACTGTGCCACCAGGGAAGCCCTGGGAGCCAGTTTTAGCATTCATTTCAGCCAGTTTTCTCAAACTTGGTAGCCGTCATGGAGCCCTTCTTTCAAATCTGATCTTTCAAATCAGATCATGGAACATGGAATTCCAGTGTACAAATCAGACACAAGCTATACATGTTTTCTTTTTTTTAACCCACTAATTTCTTTTTTTTTTTGGCTGCGTTTGGTCTTCGTTGCTGTGCACAGGCTTTCTCTATTTGCGGCGAGCGGGAGCTACTCCTTGTTGCGTTGCGCAGGCTTCTCAGTGTGGTGGCTTTTCTTGTTGCGGAGCACGGACTCCAGGTGCGCAGGCTTCAGTAGTTGTGGCGCACAGGCTTAGTTGTTCCATGGCATGTGGGATCTTCCCGGACCAGGGCTCGAACCTGTATTCCCTGCATTGGCAGGCAGATTCTTAACCACTGCACCACCAGGGAAGTCCCCACAAGCTATATTTTACACGGTATAAATTTAGGTATTTAAATGTCTAACATTTAGCTAATCAAGAACAGTGACCTGTTGTGATGGGCACAATCATTTAGCATCAGGGCTGACAGGAGGTAGCTGCTGTCTGAGATCGGCCTCGGCACCTAATTGATTTTTGTGTGTTGCCTTGTTTTTGCCCAAAAAAAAAAAAAACCCAAAAGACCACATTCACATGGCCAAGCCGTTACAAATGGTGACAGTTGTTTAACACCTCACTGTACAGTCTCAAGGTCTGTGCAAAATTAATTATACCTTGGCAACAAAGCCAGTGGGCCTACTGAATGTGTAGGAATAAGGTATACATTACATTTGAGTAGATGGGTTTTTAAAATAGAAGAATCTTTATTTTTTGCAATTTTGGATCCGATTTTTTTTTTTTTTTTGGAACTCCTGAAGGACATGCAGAACATAGTTTGAGAACCACTGAGGAAATCCAACCACCCTGTATCACAGATGGGAAGACTGAGGTCAGCAAGGGGGCAGGGCTTACCCAGGATCCCACCGGGAGATGGAGGACATGGCGATGATCAGATACACAGAGGGTTATCATTGCTCCCCATAATTACAAGTGTGCCCTGTTCCCAAGGCAGGAAGAGAAAGGCGTCAGGGACAGACACGCCCAAAACTGGCTGAGCCCTTCCTGAGTGTGTCTGTCTGTTGTCTGTCTGTTGTCTGTCTGCGCGACATTGAGCGGCAGTGCTAATGTTCCCTTCTCCTCCTGCAGCGATGCCCTCCTAGCCAGCCGCCACGGGATGGAGGGCTTCATGGACTCAGGGACACAGACGGATGCCGTGGTGGTGCTGTCCTTGGCTCAGGCTGCCGTGCTGGGCCTGGTCTCAGAAAATGAGCTCTTTGGAGCCACCATAAGCGCCGAAGCCTTCTACCCGGACCTGGGGCCGGAGCTGTCCGGGGCGGCCATGGGGGAGCCCCGGGCCCCGGGCCCAGATGTCTACCAGCTGGCCTGCAACGGGCGGGCCCTGGAGGAGCCGGCAGAGGAGGAGGTGCTGGAGGTGGAGGCAGCCTTTGAGAAGCACACCCGGCGGAAGACACGGCCGCCCGTGCGGCTGGTGCCCAAGGTCAAGTTTGAGAAGGTGGAGGAGGAAGAGGATCAGGAGGTCTACGAGGTGTCCGTACCCGGCGACGACAAGGATGCGGGCCCAGCGGAGGCCCCCACCGAGGTGGCCAGTGGCGGCTGCGAGGCCCTGGTGCAGAGCAGCGCTGTCAAGATGATTGACCTCAGCGTCTTCAGCCGCAAGCCCCGGACACTGCGGCACCTGCCTCGAACCCCGCGGCCAGAGCTGGACGTAGCCCCCTTCGACCCCCACTTCCCTGACCCAGCCCGGGACGGCTTCCCCGAGCCCAGCATGGCGCTGCCCGGGCCAGAGGCGCTGCCCACAGAGTGTGGCTTCGAGCCGCCGCACCTGGCCCCCCTGAGCGACCCTGAGGCCCCCACCATGGAGTCCCCGGAGCCCGTGAAGCCGGAACAGGGCTTTGTGTGGCAGGAGGCAGGCGAGTTTGAGGCCGACGCAGCCGGCTCGACGGTGGAACGCCACAAGAAGGCCCAGCTGGACCGGCTGGACATCAACGTGCAGATCGACGACTCGTACCTGGTGGAGGCAGGCGACCGTCAGAAGCGCTGGCAGTGCCGCATGTGCGAGAAGTCCTACACATCCAAGTACAACCTGGTGACGCACATCCTGGGCCACAATGGCATCAAGCCTCACTCGTGCCCGCACTGCAGCAAGCTCTTCAAGCAGCCCAGCCACTTGCAGACACACCTGCTGACACACCAGGGCACCCGGCCGCACAAGTGCCAGGTGTGCCAGAAGGCCTTCACGCAGACCAGCCACCTCAAGCGCCACATGCTGCTGCACTCGGAGGTCAAGCCCTATAGCTGCCACTTCTGCGGCCGCGGCTTCGCCTACCCCAGCGAGCTCAAGGCCCACGAGGTGAAGCACGAGAGCGGCCGCTGCCACGTCTGCGTCGAGTGCGGCCTGGACTTCTCCACCCTGACCCAGCTCAAGCGCCACCTGGCCTCGCATCAGGGCCCCACCCTCTACCAGTGCCTCGAGTGTGACAAGTCCTTCCACTACCGCAGCCAGCTGCAGAACCACATGCTCAAGCACCAGAACGTGCGGCCCTTCGTGTGCACCGAGTGCGGCATGGAGTTCAGCCAGATCCACCACCTCAAGCAACACTCGCTCACCCACAAGGTAAGGACGCCACAGGCCTCCCCCAGCAAGGCCCTGGCCCCTGGGCTCTCCCCCCGCCTCCCGCCGGGGGCTTGGCCCCAGGCCTGAGGCTCTGCCCTCTCCTCCTGCCGTGCTTTCATCCAGTGCTTCCCGAAGCACTGCCTGAGATCTTTTAGGTGGTGAACATCTCTCATTTTTATAGTTATATTTTTTTTGATGAGTGTTAGAAAAAAATGTAATTGAAATTAGTTTTTTTAAATAGTAAAACTTGATTCATTTTAAAACTTTTTAACGGAAATGTTTGAGGAACCCCTGCGGGACCCAAGGAGCACAGTTGGAGAATCGCTGATTCTCTATCTCGTGGCTGGGAGGACCGAGGCCAGAGAGAGGCCAGGGTGCCACGGGGAGGTGGATGAGATAGATGGTCAGAAGCACAGAGGGCTTCCTTTGCTCCTTATAATTACACAAGTCTATCAAAAGCTGTGTGCCTTCCCTTTAGGAAAATGCTAAATATATTTCATTTTAAAAGGGAATAGATGTGGGCTTCCCTGGTGGCGCAGTGGTTGAGAGTCCGCCTGCCGATGCAGGGGACACGGGTTCGTGCCCCAGTCCGGTAAGACACCACATGCCGCGGAGCGGCTGGGCCTGTGAGCCATGGCCGCTGAGCCTGCGCGTCCGGAGCCTGCGCCCCGCAACAGGAGAGGCCACAGCAGTGAGAGGCCCGCGTACCACAAAAAAAAAAAAAGGGAATAGATGTAAGGAAAAATATTTGCTATGGAAAAGTACAATTGGTTCTAGAATATGACAAAATGAAGCAAAGTGGCTTGTGGGGACAGAAGGTGGAGCAACACTGTCCTTTTCCACTGTGTCCCTAGACATAAACTTGACCAGTTCTCCCCTTACCTTCCTGTTCCTTCAGTCCACTGGCCACCCTGCCTTTCAGCCAACGTCACCTCCTTTAAGAGGCTCTTACGTCCAGAAGGGGAATGAGGCCTCTCAGGTCCCACAGTCCCACTCTGGCACTTGTCCTGACCCATGGTTTCCACCCCAAATCCAACCAACTTCACTCTTTGAAGCTGAACATGCCTAGAGCTGCCCCTCTCCATAATTGCGGCCTTAGAGACACTCCTGGTCAAACTCATGTCCTTATTTCTCACAGTGGACACTACAGTGAGTAGGGAAGAAACAGCCTGCCAGGCCGAGAATCCAGCCTTTCCCAGCCCTGGGTACTCTTTCTGCTGGAGCAGAGGTGATTCTTAGGTTTCATTGCAGGTGCTCCTCATTCAACTGGTGTAGCTACCTAGAGTGTAATGTTAAGAAGGATTCTGAAGCTGAATCTGGGCTCAGCTGTAAAACCAGATGATTGATTCTTTCCGCCTGCGGGGAGTTGGGGGTTGCAGGGGTTGAGGGTGGGGAGAGTGCAAAGTGATAAGTACACGTGCTATATATTTGCCATCTTTCTCCTCTACTAGGAGACTTAAAAATCCCCACAAGTCCACAAAGTGTTAAAAGAGAAATAATACTGTGAAGAAAAGGCAAAAGCAAAAATCAAAGGCTGATAAAATTATTATTATCAGCCTCAGTTTACACATGTGCACACCATCCCAAAGGGCAGGGCCCCTTCGTGGTCATACACATCATCTTCGCTCTGTCAAGCAAGCATACAAGACAGGAGACACAGCCTGTCTGCTGAGAGAAATAGACACGGGAACTGTTAAATTATGACATGAAACTTTGTACCAAACAAGCAGTTGGGACAGCAGCTGTGACCACAGAAATGTGTCGGTGCCACTGGAGTTCTACTAAATTACTGGGGTTCTAGGAACTTTTGTCCTCACTTTTCTCCCCAGACAATACATTGTGCTTCCTGTGCACACAGCACCCTGTCCTGCTCTGGGGGTCACCTCCAGACCATGGAAAAGCATGTTGACCATCCAAACCAGAGGGTTTTCCCTTGGAATCTTTGTCTCCTGGGGTTGTGTTCCAAAGTCCATCAGTGATAAGAATCACCTGCGGAACCTGTTGGGATTAAAAATTCGTGGGAATTTGAATCTCCAGGGAGGGGCCTGAGAGGCTTTTTGTTCAACAAGAGCTACAGGTTGTTCTTATCACAAGAGAAGCTTAGAATACACTCTCAGGGGTCGTGGACGGGCTCCGAGGTTTGAGAAGTCTTTAAATTCTACACAGACCTGAATGTTTTTTCATTTTTCCTGGGGTGCTCATACCTTTAATCATACTCTCAAAGGGGTCTGTGAACCAAAAAGACCACTGAGAGACAGCATTGAGGTGAAAAATATATACATGCATCTTGATCTCAGGAAGCCCGTCCAGGCCCCCAGGCTAAGGCTGTGTCTTCTTGGCCAGAGGCCCCTGGTGCCTGATGTGATGCTGGCTTATAGCAGGTGCCTGGTAAATGGTTGATGAATTAATGAATGAATTAACGTGCAAACGAACACGCTTGCCTCAGTGCCCTGGTACAGACCTACAAATCCACCTGCCCTCTTGGGCAGGAGACAGCAGGTGTATGGGTCAGAACAATAAGATTCAGCCGATCTCTCCCTATCACTGGAATGGTTTCCATAGTAAATTGTTCTTCCCCAGCATCCTCCCGGGCATTTCAAACAAGTGGCCCCTGTTTGGAACATCCCCAGGAAGTCATTTCCCAGAAGCACTGACCCTGTGGTACACACACACACACACACACACACACACGCACGCACTTCCAGAGCCTGTGTCCATTGTGTGGCCCTGACCATCGCTCCCACCCCGCACAGGGTGTGAAGGAGTTCAAGTGCGAGGTGTGTGGCCGGGAGTTCACCCTGCAGGCAAACATGAAGCGGCACATGCTGATCCATACCAGCGTTCGGCCCTACCAGTGCCACATCTGCTTCAAGACCTTCGTGCAGAAGCAGACCCTCAAGACCCACATGATTGTACACTCGCCCGTGAAGCCATTCAAATGCAAGGTACCAGGCCTTCGGGCCCCCAGGTGGGACTTCCCCACGAGTGGCCTCAGCATGACGGCAGCAGCCGGGACCCGGTATGGGCAAGAGAGCCCTGGTTGGGTGAAACTGCCTGGGCTCTGGGGGTTGGGGTGGGTGGTGAGGGTTCAGGTCCTACAAGCTACTGAGGTTGTTTTTTGAGAATTGGAGGAGGGGGTGAAGGTCACGGTACAGCCGCAGGGAAAGAGCCCCGACCCGAGACTCAGTGCACCTGGAGATCCGAGCCCTGGGTTTCTGACAGCTTCAGCTCAGGGATCGTGGGGCAGACACACAGGAACGGTGACCAGCAGGGAGTGGCTCAGTCCTCGGCCTCTGGGATCACATAGGAAAGGACGAAGTGAGTGCTTGTCCACAGCCGATGGGATTCCGGCCCAGCCGTGGAGGTAGGAGTGGCTGGGTGTCCGGAGAGCGCGGGTTCCCGGGCTGATGAGGCCGGGTGGGGTGTGTTCCAGGTGTGCGGGAAGTCCTTCAACCGCATGTACAACCTGCTGGGCCACATGCACCTGCACGCGGGCAGCAAGCCCTTCAAGTGCCCCTACTGCTCCAGCAAGTTTAACCTCAAGGGCAACCTGAGCCGGCACATGAAGGTCAAGCACGGCGTCATGGACATCGGCCTGGACAGCCAAGGTGGGTGGGCCACACGCAGTGGACAGAGCAGGAGTGGTACTGTCATGGCACACTCAGGAGCCTCCTGTCCAGTGAGGGGAGTGGGGAGGCTGGCCAGGCCTGAGACCTCATTGGGGTGGGCTCAGGTCTGGAGAGGGAGCACCCTGGAGGGTCACCATGGTGATAATGATGGGATATTTGTGTATACTTTAGAGGACTTACGACGGCTCACATAAACAATAATAAAAATAATTTGTTGAGTGCTGTGTGCCAGGCCTTTATTAACTCACGTAACCCTCACAGTGAGGTTGGCTCTGTTATTACCGCCATTTTACAGATGCAGACACTGAAGGACAGAGAAGTTAGGTAACTCATGCAAGATCATTACTGAGAGATGACATTTTATTTAAATGGATGGGAAAGAAAGTAACAAAAGGAAAATTGGCAACTGTAAAGATAAGGGAGAGCCAGGTGAGGTCACAACCCCAAGTACACCATGGGAGGTCCTATGGGCATGCAGAGGGGAGCCCTGAGCTTCCTAGTCGCCAAGGCAAAAAGGGATATACAATCAGTCACATTCTTCATAGTGCCTGCCAAAAAGAATGTAGCCCACATACTCAGGAGAAGTGTCCTTACCTCTGCAGTTGGTGGAGGTTTCATTGGCTGTTGGTTATAACATCCCTACATGTTAGTGATAGCTGCTCCCCTCAACACTGGTCAGTACTGGAAGAACTGTAGTCGCTCTGGCCTCTCATGGGGAGGAGGCACTTTAGAGATCCTACAGGAAGGAGAAGCCAACCACACTTCAGGAAGGTTCCTTGTATAGTCTGGAGCTATTTGACTTTCTGGTGCTCCTTCTGAGACAAATTAGCTGGGAATGTGCCCCGACAGTCACCGGGTGAGTCGACTTGCCATATGAGGTTACTTTCTAGGAGTCAGTCAGATGCTGGGGGATGCTGCAATAACCCTGATTGAGTTTTGGAGCAGTGAATGGCCGGGAGTGTTCTGGCAGAAACAGGTGTCATCGGTTTTCCATTCTGGATGAGGATGAAACGCTGTTGGCTGCATATAGTTGCTCTGTAGCCCCTTCTTACCCAAAATGTGGTTCTAGGACCAGCAGTATTGGCATCACCTGGGATCTTGCTAGAATTGCAGGCTCCACCCCACCCCAGACTTGCTGAATCAGGCTCTGCATTTCCCAAAGATCCCCAGGTGATTTGTTTGCACCGGAAAGTTTGAGAAGCATTGAATAAAGTGATGGTTTTCAAACTTGAGCAAGGGAGCATGAGAATCACTCCAGGCTTGTTGAAACAAATTGCTGGGTCCCACCTTCAGAGCTTCTGATTCTGTAGGTCTGGGGTAGGGTCGGATCATTTACATTTCCAGCAAGTTCCCCAGGTCAAACCGAAGCTGCTGGTCAGGAACCTCACTTCGAGAACCTCTGACCTAGACTCCAGAGAACTGTTCTCAAACTTGGCTGCACATTGGAATCACTTTGAGAATTTTTAAAATGCTGATGCCTGAGTCTCAACCACAGAGATTCGAATGTAACTGATCTGGCGTGTGGCCCAGGATCCGGACTTTTTTTTAAGCACCCTAGTTCATTCTATGCGCAGTAGAGTTTGAGAGCCAGTACTCTAGTGGACATGCCAGGTAGCTAACCCACCAGGAGGGACCAGAACAGGACTGGTCCTTTTGGAAGTAGCTGTCCCTGCACACCTCGCTCCCAGGGGGTGGTTAAGGCCTAAGCTGTTTCCACCTGAGGTCAGTGACCAGGGATGCCTAGGGTTGCTTTGTTCCTGATTGTACCAGATGACAGAAAGTAAAGCAGGGATTGGCACGGGAATGGCTGGGGCCCAGGTCCACCCACCACTCACGTATAACCTTGGTCTGAGAAGCTCAGGCTTGACACTTGTGCAGGAGGAAGGCAGCCTACAGCCTAGATGGAACCACCCAATAAACGATAGGACTGTAATTCAGGAGGTAGATCAACATCTTTGTAAAAAATGGTACAGAGTATTCCCTGGGGCCAACTGGACAGGCCAAATAGAGTTAATAAAGGGAGGTTGGGAGGATAACAGAGACCCAGAGGTAGAAATTTTCCCAGGGTCTTTATTTAGCTTGTTTTTAATCAACTATGTGGTATGAAGGTGTGGCACTAGGATTTGAGGAAGAAAGTGCCTAGGGGCTATAAGATTTGGTACAGCTGAGGGAACTCCCTAGAGGTCACGTGGTTAGGACTCATGCTCTCACTGCCCAGGGCCGGGGTTTGATCCCTGGTAAGGAACTAAGATCCCACAAGCCGTGTGGAGCGTGCGGCCACAAAAAAGTAAATAAATAAAAATTTTAAAAAAAGAGATTTGGCACAGCTGGCCTCATTTTATAAAGTCAGATGCTATGGGCACAAGTAAGAGACACCCCATTCAGACTGGTTTAAACAATAAGGCAATAAATTAAGAAATGACTTGCAGTCCAGGCTGTCTTCAAAGTTGGCTGATTCAGCCCCTCAACAATGACAGGGTGAGGCTCCCTCTGTCTGTCCACATTATTAGCTGTGCTTTTCCTCATAGTCGCAGAATAGCTGCCAGTGGCCTTTAGGGCAATATGCTTCCTTGTTCACCTCCATTGGAAGAGTAAGAGCCTGCTCTCCTTTGCTCTGTGAAACTAATAAGAACATTCTAAGAACTCACTAGCAGGCCTTTCCTCATGATTCACTGGCCAGAATTGGGTCCCATCCCTAATCCTGAGCCACTCATTGGCAATGAGTGGGATTACCCTTCAACCAGTGGTTCTCAACTGGAGGTGAGTTTGCCCCCCAGGGACATTTGGCCATGTCTAGAGACATTTGGTTGTCACAGCGGGGGCAGTGCTACTGGCATCTCGCTGATAGAGGCCAGGGATGCTGGGAAGCATCCTACAATGCACAGGACAGTCCCCCACAACAAAGAATTATGGCCCAAGATGTTAATAATGCCAAGGTTGGAAAACCCTGCCTTAGACTCATCAGGGCTACCCCTGGGCTGGGGTCCATTTCTCCCCAAACACATCGCATATCCCAGATGGACAGGGGCAGAATGCACACTGGGGCTCAGCCACAGTCCCTGCCAGCAAGACTCCCAGGTCCCCAGGTCACACCCTGGGCCTCCCTCCCTCCATAACTCATTGGAAGGCAGCCCCACCCAAGCTCCTTTGTGGAGTTTTCTATCTGGCTTTTGTTCCAACAGTAAGAGCTTTATAAAAGATTTCAATTTGATAAAATTACAAGAGGCCTCTTAGAATTTTTATCTCGTCGTCTTTGTTAACCTACCTTGAGTGCTTGGCCTTGGAGAGCTAGGCCTGAGGATACCACTGGGTAGAACTGGCGCCAGGTCAGAGGAGAAACAGCTCCCTCCAGCCAAGTGAGGTAGAGTTGCACAGTGGATCAAAACAACAGCACTTGCTGGGTGCCCTTTGGCAAGTTGATTAACCTCTCTGAACTTCCTTTTGATCTCCTAAACGGGGTTGCTGTGAGCATTCATGAGATGATATATGTGAAGTGCCTGGCATACAGTAGGTGCCAAACGAGTGGTATTGCAGACATGATATAGTACAGGAGGCTTTCATATGGCAAAGGAGACTAATGAGTAATGTTGCAAAGAATAAATAAGGGCTTAGTGACTCAGGAGGTGCAAGAGAGGGATGACCCCAAGAGTTCAAGTCCAAGCCTGTACCCACTCGGCACACATTTGAGAAGCCACGGGAGTCGGGGGCCTCCCAGAGCAGGAGGGCAGAGGAGGCAGCTGAGAGTCTTTTGGAAGCAGTGACTGGCAATGACTTCTTTAGTTCTGCTTCCCGTGTGGGACTGACCACAGGCAGCATCCAGGCCTAACTGTGCCCTCTCTTGCAGACCCCATGATGGAGCTGACGGGCACCGACCCCTCCGAGCTTGACAGCCAGCAGGAGATCGAGGACTTCGAGGAGAACGCCTACGCCTACGCCGGTGTGGACAGCAGCGCCGAGGCCAGCGTCCTCACCGAACAGGCCATGAAAGAGATGGCCTACTACAACGTGCTATAGCACAGGCCAGGCCACCCAGGACGGGGCAAGGAGGGCGTGGGGCGTGGGGGGAGACCCATGTGCTGCAGGCTGCACCTCCTGCAGCTGGAAAACAAGCTACTGCCCCACTGTCCTGAGCCCTCCCTCCCACTCAGTCGTTTGCACCACTAGGGACTTGTAGACCAAATGGAGACTGTACTACTGGCCTCAGCTGTGAACCAGGCACAGGCCCCAGGCATCCTAGGGAAGGAAGGGTAACACGGGAGGCCCAGGTCTGGGTCTCCTTGGCCTGCTGCTGTGGGAGAAATGCAGATGGGGGCCGTCTGGGGACAGGTCACAAGGGCATAGGTTCTCAAGTCTCTCCAGGCCCAGCAGAGCTGGGGCGGCCCGTGTGGGCAGGGCCATCCTGATGGCTCCTTGGGGCTCCTGTCACTGGAGGGAGATCTCTTGAGCCATGTCTTGTTTCTCCTCTGGACCCTCTCCTGCCTCTAGGGATGTTTGAGCTCCTGTGCTGGTCAGCCTTGCCCCCCACCCTTACCCCCCACCAGCCCCTGGGCTGCGAAAAGCCCAGGCCCAGAGCCCATTCCCCCACCCTGTCCATGGACAGCCAGGCAGGGCCCTCTGCCTTCTACCTCCTGGTGCCTCCCGCTCTCTCCTCCAGCCAGGCGTGCATGCAGCCTGGTCCTGGCCTTAGGAAAGCGGGGTGTAGCCCAACCCCCAGCTACCGTCCTCTCCAGCCGAACCCCAGAAGGCTCGCATCTTACAGCCCTGTTTGGAAGTGGGCGTCCCTAGAGTGGATTTCAGCAAACTGTTATCTAGTTCTGTCTCGAAGTGGGGCACCACCCCAGGGTCCCCCGACAAAGCCAGGACATGCCTTGCGTTAGACACACACTAACAAAGACAGATGGAGGCCCCTTGAGCAAGGGGACTGGTGATGGGGTCGTTGGGGACCAAGAGGGGCTGTCCTTAAGGAGGCCAAGGAGGGCCTATGTAGGGGTGGGGGCCTGGAGTTTTCCTCTTATTTAAGGTCTAATAAGTATCCATTTTGAGGATGGGGACAGCCAAGAGTCAGCAGGGTCCCAGGAAGAGCAACATATTTAAAAAAGGAAAATGAAGACCATAGAGGGAAAAAAAAAAGGTTTTTTGAGCAAAGGGGGATATTTTGAAGGTAATTTATTTTTCTCCTTTCCAACTCTGTGTCACCTATTATCTTTTCTGATGGAGATCATTTTCTTTTTGCCAGCGGAAGCTTTCTCGTGTGCTGTGCGTGCTTTGTGCCTCCCCAACCAAGAGCAGCGTGGCCTGCCCTGGCGGGACTCGGGCTCAGAAGGCACTGTCGGTCTGGCCCTGGGGCTTCAGCTGCTGGCAGGAAGCCTCCGGAGGCCAAGGCGAGAGGCAGGAGGAGGCAGAGCCCAGCAGGCCGTCCACCCTCTCCCAGCTCCTCCGGCTAGTGACTTGCTCTGCACCACCCAGAGCAGCGGCCCAGGCTGCTGCCCCTGCTCAGCCAACGGTTCGCCCCCTCGCCAGCCCGCTCGCATCTCCTCGGTCCCCGCGCCAGCTCCTGCCCCGGAACTGAAGACTGCAGGCCCAGGGTGGTGAAAGAGCATATTCAGGAATGCTGGGGCACCCAGACGCCCACCCACTCGCCCCCTGCGGCCTCCGTGGAGGGGAGCAGGCAAGGCCATTCCCAGAGGCACAGGAGGTGAAGCCGCCAGCTTCAGCCCAGAAACCAGGAAGCGGGGAGCGGCTGGGGAGGGAGGTGCCCCCAAGGCCGTATCCTTAGTGAAGGACCAAGGCAGGCCTCAGGGTGGCTGAGATCAGGACGGAGGGGAGGACAAGGTAGCCTCGGGATCAGGCAGCCAGGTGCCCCTTCCTTCTCTGCTAGAGTTCATGCTAAGCAGCAAATAAGAGGGCTGAGGCTCACGGGAGCCTCGCCCCGACTGTGGCTCTCCAGACCCTGAGGCCCCCCAGCCTCCCAGGTGCCCGCCATGATGACCCTCAGGTGGCAGTGACCCCGTCACTGTAGAAGACATTTTCTCCTGCTGAGCAGAAGCATCATCCCCGCAAACTACCTCTTCCCACAACTTCTTTCTCCCCTGGTACCAAAAAGAACCCTGTACCTCCTCTTCTTCCTCTTCCCTGCCAGTGCAGTGGCCTTGGTCTTGGAAACCCATGAGAGACGGTCTGGCCCCCCGGGTGGGGCTCTCCTCTCTGCCCCCAGCCCCGCCATCAGCACCAGCCCTCTGCGAGGTTCAATACTTGAACGCCCCCCATGCCCTGTGCCTTGGACCTGGGCAAGGCTGAGAGAAGGAAGCAGCACAACTCACAATTGGAGCTGGGTGGGCGGTGGTCTTGGCAAGGCTCCGGTCCCCACCCCCCACCCCACCCCAACCTTTTCAAAAGAGGCGTGCAGCCTCTCGGGTGACTTGGAAACTCCTGGACAAATCCCATTCTAACTTATTTTGACGTGTATACAAACCAACTGTTTAGAAATTCCACTTGTGCAAAGCCCTACTGTGTTTTTATGTTCCTGTTTAAAAGAAGAGAAGTTTACTTAGCAATAATTATAAATAAATGAATATTCTTTAGTGAGGTGACTGCGAGTGCTTCTTTCCATGGTTCTTGGGGACCCGGTCCTCACCCCTCCCTCAGAAGGAGCTCCCTACAAGGCTTCCCTCTCTGGGGGCCCAGAGGAGCTCCAGCCCATCCTTTGCACTAGAATGGCCACCTGGAGAGCTCCAAGCCCGTGAGAAAGGGGCGCAGGTCAAGGCCCCAGAATTCCCACCACTCGAGAAAAAGCCGCTTCCCCACCAACAGGCCACCAGGACAGAAGCCAGCTCCCGATGCCAGACTGGGCTTCAGAGGCTGTGCCTTCTGGGGAGCTGCCGGCCCTTCGTTACTGATGGGGAAGAGGCCGGAAACCTTGAGCTTCCCCCCAGGAGTTGGGCCAGCCAGAGTCATCACGCCAGCTTTTCCTCCTAGAGCGCCAGGAGTCCAGTGATTACTGAGGAAGAGTGGTCTTAGCACAGAAGGCGGCTGTCAGTGGAGGTGGGCAGCTGAAGCCCATCTCAAAGCTACCAAGGCTCCCAGCTATTGGGTTTCGGAATACAGGAGAGCCCACCCAAATGTGGGAAATGGACTTTGGGTTGCCAAGTATTTATTTTCTCAAGTCAAGATGACACAACTCGGGAATTCCCTGGCGGTCCAATGGTTAGGACTCCGCGCTTTCACTGCAGATCCTGGTCAGGGAACCGAGACCCGGCAAGCCATGCGGCCAAAAAAAAGACACAACTCTTCCCTAGGACATTTTAACACCAAAAGTAGAACATAATCCCTGAATAAAGGATAGCCCTTTAAGTTGGATCTGTTTAGCTTTATAGCAACTTTATAAACTTACTTTTCCAAGTTTTGCCACAGAGTGGTGAAGAAGAACCCAAGTCTGGGACTCACTAGCCTGGACCACATGGGGGCCCCACTCACAGGCCCAGGCCCGAGTCCCAGGCAGCCGTGGGGAAGAGAACTGAGGCGGCCACTGTGTGGGACCTGTTTCAAGGACTGAGAAACAGGCAAATAAAGAGGTCTGGGCACGTTTAGAAAGTTAAAACTATCAAAGAAAGAAAAAATAAAAATATAACCGTACTCTCTTGGAAGTGACAATCTCAAAATGGAAAAGAGGATACAGAAGCCAGGTCGTGCTAGGAAATTCCAGGGAACCCACAGGCCTTCTGCCTGGTCCCCTCCCCCCGGTGGCCCCCTGACTGGACAGAGGCCTGCTGTGACCCAAGGCACCCCGGGCAGCCCCTGGGGGAATCCGCCAGCCCTTTGAGGGCTTCTGCCTCTAGGCCCCAGCTGCCTCCTTCCCCTCAGGGACAAACACAGCAGACTGCTTTGTGAAGAGCTTTTTAGTAGCTAAATATGGCACCATGTGTTCCGAGGGCAATATAAATTACAGTATGCAAAACATACCACTGGCTGAGGTAAAACACACTGTTCCTGCCTCATGTCACCATGAGGGGAAACACACAGATACTTTTAAAAACATCTTGCTTATAAAAAAGAGTGTCCCCTAGAAAGGCCTCCAAAGAGGGGTTGTGAGGCTCACCCTCCGCTGCGGGGGCGTGTCGGGGTTAGGGTGGACCTGTGGCCACCCGCTTAGCCCCAGCCTGGCCGCCACGGCAGCCAGCAGTGCTCCCACCCGCTACTGCTGGCCCAGAGCTTTGTCCAGGTTGCTCTTGATGGTGTCCAGGAAGTCCGAGGTGTTCAGGAAGTGCTCGTTCAGCTTCACACTGCCAAGAGAGCACCTGCACGTGAGGGCCGCTCCAGCCGGGCCCTCTCAGGGCAGAGCCTGAGCTCAGGCATCCGGATGGCAGCCCCCTCGTGCGGTCATGGGGAGGTCTACAGGCCAGAGGCACCTGGAGCCAACGGTCAAGAGGCCACAGCAAACTCGGCAGGAACCCAGTAAGGCCTGTCTTTGCTTTCCCAGGTGACTGGGCAACTAGGTACAAGCTCTCTGGGGAGAAGCTGGGAGATGGGTGCAGCAGGGGATGGAAACATTCTGAGCAGCAAGCCTCAGGGATGGGGACCCACTCACTGCGCCTGGTGTGCGGAGGCTGGCCCGAGCCATCCCCCAGGGCCATGGACCTGTCCTGCCCCCGGCAGCTAAGTTAACTCAGGAGGAGGCCTCTAACAAGGACCCTGGGCTTCTTTCCACCTGACCTCGAGGTCCCAGAAGGCCAGCCCTGCCCTCTACCCCAGGCCACCCACTTGCTGAGGCCATGGATGCAGCCCGCCAGGTCCTTGGTCATGGCTCCACTCTCCACTGTCTCGACACACACCTTCTCCAGGGTCTGGGCAAACCTGCAGGGGACAGGGCAGAGTGAGACCCCAGCTGTGCGGAGCCAGGGCCCATAACCTGCCCAGATCCGGCTCAGGCACTCCCTCTGCACTCACCTGATCAGGTCCTGGTTTCCGTCCAACTTCCCCCGGTGCTCCAGGCCACGCGTCCAGGCAAAGATGCTGGCGATAGGGTTGGTGCTGGTAGGCCGGCCCTGGGGGAAGGGGTCGCAGGGGGATGAAGAGCCAACCAGCCAACAAGAGGGCCACCTGGACACAACTGCCCACCTCTAGACTGACAGGACCAGGCCCGTGCTCCCAGCCTCAGGGCCAGTGGGCTCGGGCCCCGGGGGCAGATGGACATGAGGCCATGGTCCTCGCACTCACCTTCTGGTGCTCCCGATAGTGGCGCGTGACCGTCCCATGAGCAGCCTCAGCCTCAATGGTCTTCCCATCCGGGCAGATCAGCACGGACGTCATCAGGCCAAGGGAGCCAAAGCCTGGAAAGTAGGAAGACATCCTATCGGTGCCGGCACCTTTCCTCAGGCCACTGGGGTTGAGCCCACCTGCCCTCCAGCTGTTGTAGCTGCTTCCTTGCTATGTCTCCACCCACCCCCACCTATAACTGGGAGAACAGAGACTGTTTCAGGCTTGTCTACTCTTGTCCTGGGTCTCCAGAGCCCAGTACAGGGCAGAGGGGCACTCAGAGGTGGCTGTCATCAGCCTGTTAGCATAATTCTGCATCCCCTACCTCCAGGTGCCCCAGAGTCTATGGCCCCCCCAGGGCATAAGATCCCCCAAAATTCTGCCCACCCACCCTGGCTGGTGACCAGGAGGCTCATTCAAGCAGAAAGAATAAAGCCTGCAGCCAGCTGTTTCACAGTGATCACTTTATCTGCTCTTTCAGGCCACTTTAAAGCTTTGTGATTTATTTCCAAGTTTTCCCAAAACCAGATGTCAACCTTTTCTGTGGCCAAGGTCTCCTAGTTTTCAAAAGCACCCCCACAAGCACCAAAATAAGAATTCTGAATGCCCAAGAAAGAAAAAGTGGGCAACTTCTAGAGGAAAATTATTTGGGTAAGAAGTTTTGCTGTTGGGGCAGAGGAAGGGGGAATCCCTTCTCCATTTGCACCTGGGACCTTCACACTCACCAATCTTCATACACTTAAGGGTACCTTTCACACCTTTCTCTTGTCTGCTAGGGCTTTTCATGCTCCCATCCTAGATGGGAATTGTTCTAGTGAGAGGATCACACCAAACTTTTCAAAATAAAGTCAAAGGTTTTTATAAAGCACTGAGACCCTCTGCCTTTTCATCACAACCTGGCGTGGGCTTCACTTTTCTCCTTATCAGGAGCTAGACCTCGCCCCCTCTCACAGAGCCTGGTTTCTCTTCCACTCGCTATGGATACATGTTGCCTCCTCCCACTATCTTTCCTGCTCTCATTCCCAATACAATTGGGCTATTTTTTTCTGTTCTTCCCTAACGGCTTCACGCAGGCTTTCTGCTGCAACCCAACTTGTGTTTCAGGATGCTCTGGGGCCTGGGGGTTTGCATCATCCCCAATTTTCTCCTACATCCAAAAGGTTTACTGTGCAAAACAAATTCTCTGTAATTTAAAAAGCATCCGGTAGCGCTTACTCCCCTTTTTCTACTAGAGCCAAACCTAGTCCAAACCTGGAGCCAAGCAGAGTCACTTGGCCCTTTCATGGACAGGAACAACCTCGGGGCTAACACATCTAGCCCTTTAGCACCTGAATTCCTACGTCCTACTTCCTCTGGAACAGCAGCCTTAGTAATACCCCAGTCCAAAGCTAACTTAGGATCCTTCCTCACTCAGACACCAGGGAGCCCCTGGCCCCTGCTGTCCACAGGAGACCCTGAAATGAGCAGGCAAGCCCCAGTCCTGCTGCTCCGCTACAGAAGTGTTCTCCCCAAAGGAGAAAATCCCCCCAGCTAGGGAAAATCAACAGTCCATCCCTGCAGGGAGCAGGTGCTGCCAGTGTACCCTGGGCCAGGATGTCTGATTGCACGTCTCCGTCGTAGTTCTTGCAGGCCCACACAAAGCCGCCCGAAGACTTGAGGACCTGAGCCACCATGTCGTCAATAAGGCGGTGCTCGTACCAGATCTTATTCTTGTCAAACTCGGTCCTGTAGTGCCTGGGAGCAAAAGGGCCTGTTGTGGGGAGAGGGCGGGAGGCTGACAGGTTGGGGATCCCTCCCTGAGCCTCAGAGCTGAGACCGATGCACTGGGACAGCCGTCTCCCTGGGTGGGTAAGGGCGGCTGAGGGGACAGGGAAGAAGGGCCATGGCGTCCCTGAGAAGTATTAAAGGGAGAGGCCATTACTTCTCAAAGATCTCCTGGAAGATGTCCTTGAAGCGCCCGTCATAGGCTTTCAGAATGGTGTTCTTGGTGCTCATGTAGAGTGGCCACTTCTTCTGGATGGCGTACTGGAAGCAGCTGTGCGCAAAACCCGAGATGGACTGCAGGGAGAGAGAGGTCCCTGGTGTGGTCCCCCAGGGCGGGCCCAGGCCCTGGGAACGGCATCCCTTCCCTCCACAGGACCCTCGCAGGCAGCCGGGGTTAACCCAGACTCCCTGGAGTGAGCATCTGTTGTTTCTACTGGCCCAGCATCCCCCTCCCAATTTCTGGGACGAAGTAGCCCCACCAACTGCTTTGGAAAGCTACCACCCTCCCCACTTCTTAGACCATATGGCTGGGGTGGGGCTAATGCCCTCAGCCCACCTGCCGGTCTCTAGACTTGATAGTGTGTTCTGGGCTTATCCAATCAGAGCCCTTCCTCCCCTGGGCCTCCATGATTGGCTCAGAGATGGCCATGTGACCCAGGCCTGTACTTTTGCTGGAATCATGAGCAAAAAGGCTCTTTTCCGGGACTTCCCTGGTGGTCCAGTGGTTAAGACTCCGCACTTCCACTGCAGGGGGCACGGGTTCGATCCCTGGTCCGGGAACTAAGATCCTAAATGCCACAGCGCAGCCAAAAAAAAAAAAAAAGGCGGGGCTCTTTTCTGATAGGGTAGCCAGGCTGGCAGCGATAAGCCTGGAGCTACTGGTGGCCATTTCTTCACAGCCTGAGTGAGCCCAACCACAGACGAAAGGAAAGCCAAGAGATGGGGGTAGGGAGGGGAAGAAGTGCTTACCCAGTTTGCTGTAAGCCAAGAGCTGACAACCAATATGCCCCCAAGGACGCACCCGAGAGCGAGTGCAGGAATGGTGGGGAGCACAAGCACCTGGCTGGGCGGGAGTGCGACAGCCCTCCACACCGGGCCCACCGCAGGGCCCTCGGACACACCTAAGATGCATTTCCTCTCAGGCCTCAGACCTTCAGGCCACCGATGCAGGAACAGTCAGAACCACCAACCTGATGTGGCTGGAGATGGAGAGACAGGCGTGGGGGGAGGGAGCCGGGGAGCCGCTGCTCACCTCATCCGTGTTGTACATGCCCATGCCCACGCCACCAGCGGGGAAGCTGTACACCTCCCACTCCTTAGCTCCGCTGCCGTCCTTTGGGGTGAAGACGATCTTGAATGTGCCGGCCCGGTCAGCCACAAAGTCTGTGGCCTTGTACTGCAGAGGTGAGAGGGTGGCTCAGGCCAAGTGCCCCAGATGCAGGACCCAGGCCCTTGGGGCCCCATTCCCACCGTGGCAAACCTGGTCGCCGTGGGCGTGCCTGCCGATGGTGATGGGCTTGGTCCAGCCAGGGACGAGGCGTGGGATGTTTCTGCAGATGATGGGCTCCCGGAACACGGTCCCCCCGAGGACGTTCCGGATGGTCCCGTTGGGGCTCTTCCACATCTTCTTCAGCTTGAACTCTATGAGGACAAAGATGAAGGGGCCCCACTGCAGCCCCCACCTTCCAACCAGAGTTTGAACCCCAAGCAAGAACAAGGATGGGGGTCCTAAACATCATCTGGGGGGAAGCAGCAGCAGAGTCTAGAGTGTGCACGTGGGCTCCCGAATCAGATTTCCTGTCTTCACGGTCCGGCTGTGGCACCAACTCTGACTGTCAGCCTTCGGCAAGTGGCTGAACTTAAGCCATAAAATGAAATTGCTGATAAAACACCTGGCCTTTTGGGTTGTTGTGAGGATTAAATGCATGCATGTGTAAAGTACCTAGAACAGTGGCTGGCACGTGGTAAGGGCTCTGTCAGTTATTTTATATATATACATATATATATATATATATATATATATACTTTTTTTTTTTTTGGCTGCACCGGGTCTTAGTTGTGGCACGCGGGATCTTCGTTGCCGCATGCAGGATCTTCAGTTGCAGCATGCAGGAGGATCTTTAGTTGCGGCATGCATGTGGGATCTAGTTCCCTGACCAGGGATTGAACCTGGGCCCCCTGCATTGGGAGCATGGAGTCTTAGCCACTGGACCACCAGGGAAGTCCCCTCTGTCAGTTCTTATTATTCCCACATCACACTTGGACGTAGCTGTCTGATGAACCTGGCAGTGTACGGCCTCACTCCAGATGCTCTGGTTCTAGCCCCAGCACTGCCACTCACCGCTGGGTTCAGCCTAAATTACTAAGACTGTGACCCTCTACTTCCTTGTCCATAAAGTGGGGATGTATGAATCCCAGGGTTCAGGAGAAATCAAAGAAAACCAGCTGAAAGAGCTTAGCGCTAAAATGATTCCATACCCTGAGGTCGGGAACAACCTGCATGACAGGAGGAGGCCTGCAGAGTTTGGAGATGTCTTGAAGGTTTCCTTAAGGCCCCTCATACTGCAGGAAGTGGGGAGACAGAACTCTGCAAGTTCTGAAACCACCCTTTCTTGAATTTCCCAAACCCAGATCCTTTACCCACACACTGGTGCCATTTCATGGAACCCTCGAGAGCAGCCCCCAGAGCCGAGGACCAGCGGCCTGTCCAAGCGTGGTGGGGCACCTCTCTGAGACCGCTCCACAGCCACAGAGGCAAAGGGCAGACCTGCAGTGCCAAGACAGTGGCGGGACACGAGGGATGTTCCGAGCCTCTGAAGGACACAGGCCTGACACCCAGCACTACCCTGGACAGAGGTGGCCCCAGAGTCTCTCTGTAAACCTGCCTGCAAAGCAGTCCAGGAGGCCAGGGGGGCAGGCTGCCCAAAGAGGCTGTCCTCACTGTGACAGTGTCAGCATCAGCTCTGTGACCAGTGACATCCACACTGGCCAGAGCCACACGGCACAGCAGAAACACCACCAGCCTGGGAGCAGGGGACACAGACCCTGGCCCCAGCTTTGCCACCCCCAACTGTGGAACCTAGGCCAGCCCTCAACCTCCCCTCCCCAGCCTCCTCCACAGGAACCTTGGAGGCTCCGCTGTGTGCTGGGCATTCGCAGGGAGACCAGGGTCACGTCCCAGTCCCCACTGTCCCAGCCGCCCGCCCCCGCGCCCCTCGCACCTTCCACACGGGCCTCGTCAGGGGTGATGGTGGCACACTTGACAGCCACGCTGTACTTCTGGGTGGCCAGCGCAGAGTCGATGGTGACCTGATCATTGGTCTGGTCACGGTTTGGGAGCCCCAGGTCAAAATACTTGAGCTGGACGTCCACATTGGGCAGGATGAGCTAGAGACAGACGGCCGGGGCCTGGCATCAGCCCAGATGACTGTGACTCAGGGGCATGTGGGGACAGTGGCAGGGGACACCCCGTCAGGGCAGGGAAGAGGAAAGGCCAGCGGTGGGCTGGCCAAAGCTGGCAAGAGGCCGGGGCTCTGGAGAGAGGCCGGCAGACCAGGCTGCAGCCCCTCGGAGGGCTCATCCCCTAGCGTGGACCACACACCCCCTGCGGTGGCCCATCAGTTCAGCCAAACCCCAACTCCAAGTGCATCTAGGGTTCTCTATACAGAGGGTTCCCTCTTCTTCCCCACTCAGAAGTGGTGATTCTCAACCTTCTTCTTGGGGACAGGCACATGGACAATGTGCTCTCCCAGGCAGACCCAGCCCACAGCGACTTTGGAGAAGTCAAGGAGCCACCCTCGGAACTGTCTGCCATGGTGGCTCAAACGTATCACTGTCCTCCAACAGACCCCACGCCACGACTCGCGATGACATCCTTGAACCGCTAAGGAAAGGTTAATGATGTGGTCCTCCCGCACTCCGGCCCTGTTCTTCTCTCACTCCCTCAATGATGCACATAGGAATGTAGGAGATCAAGATGATATACTCAACTATACTCCAATAAAAAATAAATTAAAAAAAGGAAAAGAAGAAATTCCCGAAGGATAGTCAATTCATGCTGAAACACGAGTTTGAAAAAAACAAAACAAATGAAAAAAACAAAAAAACGACATGATACAGGGTCAGGCTTGAATCTGCACACATTTTTGAAAACATGCTGGCTTTGGCACGAGCACGTGACACAGATGGCTGAGGACGGTCCCCTGCCTGACGTCATAAGAGCCATGAGTGGTCTGGACATGACAGAAGGATGGATGGAAGGGGAAAAACAGGACTGTTCCTGCCCACCAGGGTGACGGGTGAACCCTGGGGACCCGAAGTGGGGACTGAACACTGAGCCCGGCCGGCCATGTGGAAGGCCGCCTACTTCGGGAGGGAACTACCTTCTCCTTGATGAACTGCCAGATAATACGGGTCATCTCATCGCCGTCCATCTCCACCACTGGCTTCGCCACCTTGATCCTCTTGTCGGCATCTAGGACCAGACACACATAGCACATCACACCCCTGGGGAGGCTGGTGGGGGAGCCCCTCTCCTCTCCGGCCAGACCCACCCTTCACCATGGAGGGAGGAGTGTCAGCCAGGACCCAGCTGCCCAGCATTCACTCCCCCTCCTGCAGGAGCAGCTCCAGGATCACCCCGGGGAGCTGGATCCCCCGCTGAGTCTGGCTAGCTGGGACTAGCCAGATGCCAGCCTGGCCAGTCAGATCCTTTCTCCTGGAACCTGACAACAGAGGAGACCAACACAGAGAATGAGAGCCAGCTGGGGTCACCTTGTCAAGCAGCAAGCCGGGCAGAGGTTGCCTTCGGCTGCTGCCACCCAGTTCCCCAGGGTAGCCTGGAATCCCCTCTTGTCCAATCCCTGCAATTCTATGAGCTACCCCGTGTCCTTCCAAAAACTTCCTCTAACTGTTGCTTGCAACCTGAGAGCCTAACATGAAGTGAGCAGGGAAACTGTATAGATCACCTCCCATGGGCCTGAGGGTGTACCACAGCCTTCACATTTAATCCTCTGAACCACTCCCAAGGGGAGTACAGTAAGTCCCCTACATACGAACCTTCAAGTTGTGAACTTTCAAAGATGCGAACGTGCGTTCGCACGTCCAATCATGTAAGTTAGCTCATGTGTCTGGTGTACATTGTCACATGCTCGCATCCTCTACAAGTGTTTGTGCTTTTGTGTACTTTACTGTACAGGACTGTATAGAGGGCAGTAGTACAGGATCTTTATTTCAAGCCCAGGATGTGAATGAGTGAAACTGCCGCTTGCCCTCCGTCTCCTATTGCTGCCGACCCTTCAGCTCTACCATCTCCCACCTCCTCTCCCTCCTCCAGTCAGTAACTTCTTGCCTGTTCACTCGATGCCAGCCCCTGGATGCCAGCTGTTGCACTGTAATACTGTACTTCTCAAGGTACTGCACTGCAAGATTAAAAATGTTTTCTTTATTTTTTGTGTGTTTGTTTGTTTTTTATGTATTATCTGTGTGAAAAGTATTATAAACCTATTACATTACAGTACTATAGAGCCGATTTTGTTAGTTGGGTACCTAGGCTAACTTTGTTGGACTTACGAAAAATCAGACTTAGGAACGCGCTCTCTGAACGGAACTCATTCATATGTAAGGGACTTACTGTATCATTATCTCCACTTTAAATGTGAGGAAATTAAGGCTCAGAGAGGTTGTCAGCTCACTGCCAAAGCTCACACAGCTTGAAAACAGCAGATCCAGGAAGATCCACACCTTCCTTGATGGGCACCTGGGAATGGAATGCAGAAGCCCTGATCCATGCAGGCTCAGGTCCGCCAGTCCTGCCAGAGATGCATCAAAGGACTGGACGAGTGACTGATCCAGGCCCAGGGAGATGGTGGAGGAGGAAACAGGAGCTGGTGGAGGCTCTTCAAGGAAAGTCTGACTCATGAGAAAAACCAACAGTCTGGGAAGTGAATTCCAAACAAAACGCAAGGAAATCGTCCACGGGACTTCCCTGGCAGTCCAGTGGTTATGACTCCGTGCTTCCAATGCAGGGGGCACATGTTCGATCCCCTGTCGGGGAACTAAGATCCCACATGCCGTGGGGCACAGCCCCCCAAAAAAGAAAGAAAATGGCCCGTCCAATTTATCAGTGCAGGCTGCCGTGGGTGAGGCTTATTGACCCTTAACCTGCAGCAGGGGCACCCAAGCACCAGCACGTGCCTCTGGCCACAGCCTTGGAAGAAACAGCAGCTGAAGAGCACGGCAACAAGATCTATGTGAAACCTACAACCCTGCCTCAGTCACCCCAGGAAGTGTCACCTTCTGCTGAACCCCAGATGAAAGCAGGGCCCTGTCCCCAAAGGGGCCCTGCTCAGCCCTTACTTAGGGCCCATTTAGTCTTATGTTACACACAATCCTTACAGATGTAGCTATGGGTCTTTCAACTCACCGAAGATTAGACACAGCAAATCAGAAGAGGGGACAGGATGAAAAACCCAAGTGACATCTGCTAGGCTGACAGCAAGGGACAGAAGCCTGTGAAAAGCAGGCCTAGAAAAACGAAGAAGCATGGCTACCTAGGCTCATGAAAACAAAAGGGACCAAAGCCCAAGAGACCCCAAACACATCACTGTCCTACGAAACACACCACTGCCATGACTCATGATGACATCCCAACCCGCGAAGAAAAAGGTGAATTATGTGCAGCAGAATAACTCACTTTCCAAAGATGTGCAAACAGATTTTTTTTCTTCTTAATATAAAAGGGAAGAAAAATGAGACCCAGGAAGCATGGCGTGTGTCAGGGTCAGGATAGGCCTCATCTGTGTCCCAGGGCCCTGGCTCAAGTGCAGCCTCTGGACGCCCTTGTGGGCCATATGTAGAGAAGCAGAAAGCAAACACAGACTCAAAATATTTCATTCCCCAGAAAACATGGTGGACACGGCTGACACCGCTTCAGCTCTTCCCAAGATGCAGTGGGGACTTTGGACCCAAGCTACTAAATTCCTTCAGCATTTCTGGTCTAAAGCTTGAGTGGAAAGGGCTTTAGGACCTGCAGAAAGTCTGTTGGGCTGTTGCGAGCTAGCTTAGTTTTTAGGAGCATCTTCTATGAGTTAATGTGATGAGAGCCAATCAATTTTTTTTTTTTTTAATGTACCAAGCCTACAGTAATCAAGTTCCCTAAGTAGAGGTCCATTTGGGGCCAGTCCTAAAGGGTTCAGCCTCAGCCTGGGCTCTGCTCAAGCTTTGGGGTTCAGGCACAGCAGCTGGTGTCTTTGGACACCACACTCCTCGATGGGGGAGCTCAATATCAAGATCACAGCAGGCAGCCTTCCCAGCTGTGTATGCAGGTGTCAAACCCTCAGAGACCACAGGGCCCACTTATTTACAACCAGGTGCTAAGGGTAAGCACCCCTTCCTGAAACACCTAAACACAACAATGCCTGTCCTCAAAGAGTGAGTATGGAAGGGAAAATCTATCAGTAATGGAGAGAGCAAGCAGCGCTGTTATCAAAGTCAGGTGTGCAGCCTCCCTCAAAGCAACTACCCAGAGGAGCTGAGGACTGGGGGCAGTGATGTGAGTCATAGCAGCAGAGGCTCATTTTGTTTGGCCCAGGTCGTAGGGGTTTTCTTTAATGTTGATTGGTGACCAAGGCTTAAAAATCAGGCAATTTCAATAACAACAAAAAAACAAATAACCTGATTAATAAACGGGCAAAGGACTTGAATAGATATTTCTCCAAAAATGGTCAATACGCTCATAAAAAGATGTTCAATGTCACTAATCATTAGGCAAATGCAAATCAAAACTGCAATGAGATACCACTTCACACCCATTAGGATAGCTACTATCAAAAAAACCCAAAAAACAAAAGACCAAAAAACATAAAGTAACAAATGTTGGTGAGGATGTGAAGAAACTGGAACCCTTGTGCATTGCTGGTGAGAATGTAAAATGGTACAGCCACTATGGAAAACAGTATGATGGTTCCTCAAAAAAATTAAAAAATAGGGCTTCCCTGGTAGCGCAGTGGTTGAGAGTCTGCCTGCTGATGCAGGGGACATGGGTTCGTGCCCCAATCCAGGAAGATCCCACATGCCGCGGAGCGGCTGGGCCCGTGAGCCATGGCCGCTGAGCCTGCACGTCCGGAGCCTGTGCTCCGCAACAGGAGAGGCCACAACAGTGAGAGGCCCGCGTATCACAAAAAAAAAAAAAAATATATATATATATATATATTTGTATACCCATGTTCATAACAATTATTCACAATAGCCAAGAGGTGGAAGCAACCCAAGTGTCCACCAACAGATGAATGGATAAACAAAATGTGATATGAACCTTCAAGAGGAGAATAGGACTCTGGGAACTAACCCAGGAAGTTTAAGAAAAACTTTTCTCCAAAAAGTTAAACTATGTTCATGATTCCAAGTTTTTTTTCCAAAACTGGGCTGCCCACCACTTCAACATGGATGTACTTGCTTTGAAACTAAAAAAGGAAGTGCTTCCATGTTTTAGTGATGGATCTGGACCTACCTCAATAGCTTTTGCCTCTTGTTCTTTTGCTTCAAACTCCACAAAGACAAATTCCCTTTGGATCACCAGTAGACTTATAATGTGGTATACTTATATAAACAACATCACCACCTTTTCCAAATACTTTGTTTGTTTTTTGGAGCAGAAGATCTTTTAATTAAAAAAGCTTCTCTGTTATTTTTAATTACATGCATTATTACTTTTGGTAATTACAATGCAGTTAAACAGCAACAGAGACTTATTTAACCCATTCAGTCAAACTGTGGACCTCATAAGATGTAACACCTAAAACAATTCTCTATCAGCATATGATAAAAACTTAAGGTGCTTGCTCCTATGGACACTTTATGTATTACCCAAATACTTTTTCAATCCAGCTGTGATTAACATTTTTGGGAAATAACTCATGATAAATTAGAAACAGTATTAAATATGTAAGGATTTAATAACTATATCACCTAAGCTTTTCACAATTCCTATACCTTACTCAGAAGGTCAATAGATTTTAACTTGAATATTTTTTTTAATGTGCTATATACAGACAATGGGATTTTATTCAGCCTTAAAAAGGAAGGAATGCTGACACACTCTACAACATGGAAGAACCGTGAGGGAATTCTGCTAAGTGAAACAAACCAGTCACAAAAAACCAAATACTGTCTGATTCCACTTACATGAGGTACCTAGAGTGGTCAAAATTATAGAAACAGAAAGAAGAATGGTGGTTTCCAGGGGCTGGGGGGGAGAGGAGGAAGGGTAGTTGTTTAATGGGTACAGAGTTTCAGTTCTGCAAGATGAAAAAGCTGCGGAGATCGTTGAACAACAGTGTGAATGTATTTTACACTGCTGAACTGCACACATAAAAATGATTAAGATGGAAATTTTTGTTATGCATTTTTTACCACAATAAAAAATAAGAAATTAAAAAATTCTTTAATGTTTAATTTAAACCAGTCCCCCCACCAAAAGAAAAAAAAAAATCGAGAAGATTTTACATAAAAATCCAGTCCCTCTTGAAGAATGAGTCGCTTCGTCCCACTGAGCCCACGCTCACTCCTGGCAAGGATGAAGGATGGGCTGGTATGAGGACAGCCTCTCGCTCCATTCCAGGCCTGCCACGTGCCCTCCAGAGTGCCCCAAGGCATCGGAGTTTGAGACCATGTCTGTTGTTTAGCCACTATGGTGGAGATATCCACACCGTCTGCCCCTCTCTGGGAGACAAGAGGTGACAGGTTACCTGAAATTCAAAGAACAGTGGCTGGGCCTCCCTGAAGGCCTACTAGGGACAGCCGCCATGATCTCTTCAGATGACAGGCTGCACAAACACTGTCCTCTTGGCCAGGGTGTGGGATGGAATTACATCAGTCACAAGAGGCCCATTAGGCCAACTCCTAGCACCGAACACCAAGTAAGGATTTCAAAACCCATCCCCAGGGACTTCCCTGGTGATGCAGTGGATAAGACTCCACGCTCCCAATGCAGGGGGCCCAGGTTTGATCCCTGGTCAGGGAACTAGATCCCACATGCATGCTGTGACTAAGAGTTTGCATGCCACAACTAAGGAGCCTGCATGCCGCAACTAAGGAGCCCTGGAACCGCAACTAAGGAGCCCGCCTGCCACAATTAAGACCCGGCACCACCAAATATATAAACATTAAAAAACAAAAACAACAAAACCATCCCGGTTTCAGTATCTACTTGCTGCTCAAGTAAGTAGACCTAGCCTCCAGGCTAGAGGTTCCTCCCAAGACAGCCACCCTTCCACCCCACTGTCTACTTAACTGAACTGCTTTCATCACATTCCTACCCATGCTGCTGTCAGCAGAAGAGAGGCTGCTCAGCCAGCATGGCCCAGAAGAATGTAGGGGGAAGCCCCCAATTCCAGAGGGCTCAAGAAGGCAGGGCAGCAGTTCTGGAAGAGGCTCTAGTATTTTCTTTGGTGTCATCCTTCACTCCTCCCTTTGTCTCACACCCACATCAAAACCATCAAAAAAACTCTACTGGCTCTTCCATCAAAATTCATCCAGAATCCACCCACCCCAGTACTGCCACCATGGTCACAGCCACCATGCTCTCTTGCCAGATTCTGACTAAGGCCTCCTACCAGGTCCCTGAAGCCAGAATGCTCCTGTTAAAATGTAAATCAGGTCACAACACTCCTCTCAAAACCCTGCAAAGCCGCCTCTTTCACTCAGAGAAGGCCAAAATCCTCAAAAATGGCCTACAAGCCCCCCATGACCTCCACTGCCTGACCTCATGTCCCATCACTCGCCTTCTGCACTCTGAGCCAGCCTTACTTTCTGCTTCTCCAACAAGCAAAGGTGCCCTCCTGCATCGTGACCTTGGCACCTGCAGTCCTCTCTTCCCCTGAACACTAAATGGCCTGCTTCCCTCACTCCCTCAGTGCTGCATTCAGTGGGGTCTTTTCTGGCAGCCCTACCCAAACTTTCACCCACACCTTCCTTGCTTATTTGTTCTCCTTAGCTCTTGCCTACTGTCCGTCCCCACATTAGAATTTAAGTTCCATAGGGCAGAAATCTTTGTCTCTTATTCCCAGCTCTGTCCCCAGAGTGTCCCTGGCACAGTGCTTGGCACATAGTAGAAGCACAATATTTGTTGAATCCATGAATGAATGTCAAGTTATGGTCAATTCAATCTGTGGTAAGGACTGCTCTGCCATAACCTCCTCTTTGGATGAAAAGTACTCCCTCCCCTCCCCCATCCTGGGATGCATTACCACACAGAGGCCAGTGAGTCCTCACCACAAAGCTGCACCAGGAGTAGCTCACAGTTTATCATGTGTTAATATTTGCAATCCGCTGGCATTTTAAACATGGTTTACAGAAGTGTAAAGTCCAGGGCAGGCCACAGAGGCTGGCTTCCAGTAATCAGACAGCAGTGTCCAGCGCCCCATCCTGCAATCAGTGAAAGAGGCCTCAGCCTCACACAAAGGATCTGGAGGCAGGCCCCAAGCCTTTCTAGAGGCTTTTCCTCAAAACCTACTGGGCCTAAACACGACTACCCAAAAATAGCTCTGATGGGATAGCTGTGGTCTTATCTGATGTGGATGAAACAAGGCTCAGTGGAGAACACACAACCCTACTGGTGGGTCTGCAAAACTGAACAATCATTAAATAATTTCCTCTGGAATCTAAGAGTGCAGGCAAATCACCAAGATCTGAAAAGTTAAGGGACAGGGTGAGGAAATGAAGAAGTTCCCAGACTAGGAGTTGAGCCAAGGAAGGACAGATAATTCTCCCACTGAGCAGTCTCCCTCACTTCCCCAAACTAACTTAATCAGAACAACCACCAGCAGTCGCTGGAGGCCTATGAGTTGCAAAACTAGAAGGAGACACATGTGGGAATTACCTGGCAGCAAAAACACAAAAGTATTTTAGTCAAAGCATATTCTTTCCTTGTCATCAAGGGGAATGCCAAGTATTCTGTCTCCAGCAGTGTTGCCAAGTAACAAGCTAGCAGAGGTCACAATTGTACAGTCTCATGTCCAACCAAGTTCTCCTCGTTAATAACCAACCCCACTTGGGGGCTTCTGGAAGGACCTGAAACTGACTGCTGTTTTCATGTGTTATCAAAATTCAGGCCTCAAAGGGGCTTTTCTTGTTTGTGTGGGGTTTTTTGTTTCTTTTTTTACCATCAGTGCAGAAAAAAAAAAGGGGAGAACTGGAAAATGTATCTAACTTCCACCATCTTTTGCTGAAGGTGGTGCCATATGGGAAACTTTTTTGGGACCTGGGGACACTTAGAACCTCGAGTTGCAGGGCCGACTCCTTAGAGATAAATCCCATGAGTAGAAAAACGGAAATGCCCCTTTCTCCTTGAAAGGGGAGGTGGGGTGCTGGGGCTCTTCTCAGCTCTGGTCAGCTGCTCCCACACTAGGTTAAAGATTACCTACTCTAGCAGTAAGACCAGCTTGCCTGGGCCCCATCCCCTCCTCCTCACTCCAGGGAGCTGCTGGCCAGGTCAGGATAGGGGTTTCCGTGGCAACAGGCATTCGACAGAGCCAAGGGACCTATATCGTTCCCTGTCTCTTGTAGCTGGCGATGGAGAGCCAGGGGGCCGACCAATGCCAGACCAGGCAGCCTGCCTTGGTAGTGTAAGTTCAGGCTAACTCTTGCTTATTATGCCCTGCTTATTAAGACTATTGTCTTCTCTCCTAAGCAGGAAACTAAGGGTATCACAGAAGCTGTGACGAACAATTTGGGAAAGTGACATTTTGGCGCGGCTGCCGGGTCTCCCCAGTCGGGTGAGCGCGGCAGGGCCAAGGAGCAGCTCAGGAGCGGGCTGGCGAGAAGAGACAGGTCAAGCCAAGGAGAGACCCCAGGATGGAGCTTCAAGTGGGTCGACAAGGAGAATGGGGGCGTCCAAAGCGAAAATAAAAAGGAGACTCCTCCAACTGTCGCGTAAAAGGCTCCAAAAATAGCTGACGAGGGCCTGACAGCGAGGAGGGATCACTGCGCGCCCGGGTGAGAAGGCAGGGGAAGTGGATACCTCCTCCTTCCCCTCCTTTGTCTGAGCAGGGACCGCGCCGGGACCCTACCTCACTCGCGTGGAGCGGGCCAGGCGCTCCAGTACCCACTCGGTTGCTTTGTCTCCCTCCAGGGTCGCAGGACGGGCAGAATACCGTCCGAGCCCGGGATACCCCCCGCACCCCCTGCAGGAAAGTCTGGGGGCGCAGGGCAGCAGGGCCGGCATCGCCCGGGCCACCAGTTGCCACCTTCCTTCAAGTCCTCCCCCCGCCCCCCGCGACTGGCACGGCTTGGAAGGTGGGGCAGGGGAGCACGTCCCCGTCCGCCGGCTCTTTGTGTGCCCTACCCCGCCGTCCCCGGCTCGCGAGCGTCCCGGGTCGCGCTCGCTGGTCCCCGCCCGGAAGGACGCCACGTCGCGGTGCCAGGCGCGCACCCCGCCCGGACCCTCCTCGTGGCACTCACAGTGGCGCCGCGGCTGCTCTTGCAAGTTGGGGGCTGTCAAGGCTGCCGGCGCCCAGGCCGGCCCGGAACCGGAGGCTCTACAGAGCAAGCGTACAACCCGCAGGTAACCAGCCATCCCGAGCGGGTGAGGGGTCGGACTGGCTGGCGAGCGAGCGAACGAACCGGGGTAGGCGAAATCCTAGCGCCGGCCAGTGCTCCCAGCTGCCTGGCGGCGGGCTACCGAGGCCTGCCAAGCGCGGGCTGAGCGGGCAGGGCCGGGGCGGGACTGCCGGGGCCCGCCACCCTATTGGGCCTCGCCGGGAGGAGGCGGGGCCGGCAGGGGCCGGACTCCTCCTTGGGCCCTGCCCCAGCCCGGACCCCGCCCTCGCGCCCGGCGCGCGCTTCTCTGGGCAACGCGGAAAGCTCAGCGCTACTGAGGCGAGAGAGTGGTGAGACCCACCGGGACCCGGGAGCTGGGGGTGGGAACTGGAGGGTTAGGGGAGCCGTTAGCGAGGAAAAACCCACTCTCCAGGATGCCCTATTTAAACCAGAGTGTCAATTGCTGACACATCAGCTTAAGCCCCAAAAGGCAAATCTGAACAAACTCCTGCGTCCTTCGCGTTGGCTGGGCTGAAACTCCAAGGCGCATTTAACCAGTGCGCGTTCCGTGTTCTTGAACTAAGACCGTGGTCACCTCGGGTCTCCTCAAATTCGCTCTCAGATCCTCCTATCCCCTCCACGCGTTAGGTAGACTGACGCGAGTCAAGAGTTGAAATCCCGAGCTTCCCTGGTGGCGCAGAGGTTGAGAGTCCGCCTGCCGATGTAGGGGACACGGGTTCGTGCCCCGGTCCGGGAAGATCCCACATACCGCGGAGAGGCTAGGCCCGTGAGCCATGGCCGCTGAGCCTGCGCGTCCGGAGCCTGTGCTCCGCCACGGAAGAGGCCACGACAGTGAGAGGCCCGCGTGCCGGAAAAAAAAAAAAAAGAGTTGAAATCCCTCAGCTTCTCACCAGAAGGTCAAGCTGCTAGTCCTCGAAGTCATTAAGCATAGCCAGAGTCTGTTTCCTCCTTTCCGAGATGGGAACTATAACAGCAACAGGGCTGTCAGGAGACTTGGGTGAAATAACGTTATGTTAAAGACTTGGGACACACCCTGTGCTCAACGACAACCAACGATGCTTGTCAGACAGTACTCAGGCAAACGGTTCCATTTTTTGCCTGCTTTCATACAAAAGACAATACTGATTGGTTCTGCCGTAAACAACCAAAGTCTCTCGCTCTCTCTTCACTCATCTCCTTGAAATGAGACACCAGTTGGGGCTGGGTTTTATTTAGAAAAATCTGACCCCAGCCCCCACTTTCCCAGCTACACCAACCCACTCGAATGCTAGCCACCTCTTTCTGCCCTGTGTTCCCAGCTCTCCCCTTCATTGCCTCAGAGTCAACATTGCCAGATGGAGCTGGGCCAGGAAAGTGACCTTGAATTAGTGACTTCAAAGCTTCCTTCTCCCTGTCTCAGCCAGGCAAAGCTACTACTTTGGCCCAGAGATCTAGTAGACTGGGCCTAAGGGGAGGCTGTTCTGGGGCCACCCCCAAAGTCTGAGACCTCATTCAAAGGCCTAACCTTGAACCAGAATGTCCTAGAGTGACCCATTATCCCTTTCATTCTGTTCCAATTCTCTTGCTCAAAACACAAGCAGAGGGACTTCCCTGGTGGCGCAGTGGTTAAGAATCCGCCTGCCAATGCAGGGGACGCGGGTTCGATCCCTGGTCTGGGAAGATCCCACATGCTATGGAGCAACTAAGCCCATGTGTCACAACTACTAAGCCTGTGCTCTAGAGTCTTCAAGCCACAACTACTGAGCCCATATGCCACAACTACTGAAGCTCGTGCACCTAGAGCCCATGCTCCACAACAAGAGAAGCCACCACAATGAGAAGCCCGCACACTGCAACGAAGAGTAGTCCCCGCTTCCTGCAACTAGAGAAAACCCGCATGCGGCAACGAAGGCCCAACACAGCCAAAAAACAAAATAAGACAAAACATTAAAAAAAAAACACAGCAGAGACCATGGAAGCCTCTGGTATTTGGCTTTCATGCCATCCTAGTGTTATCAGGCACCAGGGCCTCAGTGTCTATACCTATAAACTGGGAGGATGACTGCTCCCCCAGGCTCCTTTTGGCCCAAACAATCAGATTCTGTTATGTATGACAACTACCTATACTGCCACTTCTGAAATGGTCATAAAGAAATTGCTCTCCACCCCCAGGGGCTCATTTGTTTCTCTGTATGGTGGACCAAGGTGTCAGAGGCCTGGCAAGAGGCAATACTAGAGCCTCAGTGTGTTCCAGACTCTGGCCTTCACCTGCAGAGGGATCAGGGTGGGAGCACATGGGTCCTTTGCAAGCACGGCAGCAGCCCAGGACAGTCAAGGCAAAATCTTCAGATTAAACTGCTCTCACAGCCCACGTCCCAGGGCTCCAGCTCCATGCCAGCCTTCCTCATGCAGTTTCTATTTGGTGAGGCAGCTGATATCAGCTCCATTGGCTCAGAGAGGTTAGGACACTTGCTCAAAGTCACACAGCTAGGAAGTAGCAGAACTCTAGTTCATACTCATATACCTGGCTAATAGTCCATCATTCTTTTAAGGAGAAAAAATAGGACCCAGAGCCCCTATTTATTGTACTTCTTTGGAATTTTTTGTGGTGATAACTGCTGGCCCTGTAAGCCACCTCAGAGAAAGGTGATATTTAAAGGAAAGGTGCTTATATCCTCCTTTGGGGTCAGCAGATTTGGAAACTCTCACCCTTACAGATTTTATTTATTTATAATTTTTCGCCACACACAGAATGTCGGATCTTAGTTCCCTGACCAGGGATTGAACCCACGCCCCCTGCATTGGAAGCACGGAGTCTTGACCACTGGCCTGCCAGGGAAGTCCCCTTACATATTTTAAATCAAACCTCAATTAGTTATTGAGTCTAGGTCATGTGCAAGTTCCCCGTGGAGGCACAGAAATGCATATCACTCAGTCTCTACCCTCTGGGAACCACAAATCACCACAAACCAGGCACAAGGGGAAAGTGTCCCAGGAGGAGTTTAGATGACACATTAGGCATCTGGCAAAGAGAAAATCACCTCTGATGGGGGAGACCCTGATGAGCTCAGGGCAGGAACATCCATCAAGTGTGTTCTCACGGATCTTTACGATGTGGAAGGAGGCTGACCATGCAGACACGAGTAGAGTGAGGGCCTTGCACTTCACCCAGGTGGACACACCAGGACATTAGTTTCATGCTATGTTTGTAGGCAGGGAGTAACATCTGGCACAGCAGTGAGGGGATGTCAGACAGTGGAGAATCAGGCCTGGGGAAGGGAGGCCAGGGTTCTTGAAACGGAGAAACTTGACACAGGGTCCTGGCAGGACCCTCAAGAAGGTGCAAGAGTGCAGAGGCGGTGTAGAGATGGCATATGCAGGAACTGCAGCTAGCTGGACGGGGGAGGAGTCACAGTGACTCAGACTTCCATCCCTGGGGCTGGGAGAATGGTGATGCCATTATTAGAAATCAGAAGATGGGAGGGAGGAAGGTTGAGGGGGAGGCGTTGATAGCAGAGCTATTTATGGTCATCTCTAAACTGATTTCCCTGCCAATAGTCAGTCTGTGCTCCCTCCCCCTCCTATCAGCCCTCCCCGCCACTTCCAGCGCTGTCACCCTGAAGCACAGCCCTGAGCAGTCACTCCACAGCTCAGATAGTGAAGTAGCTCTCCACTGCCTGATACAATAAAATCTGAATAGCTTATAACATTTCATGGCCTTCACCTACCCCCCACAGTTACTATTCCCTCTCCACAAGAACCCTAAATTTAGCCATTCCCCTGAGTAGTCCTTGACTCTGAGCAGTTGCACTGTCCCTTCCTTCCATCAAGTGGGTTCTTTCCACTCTGCATAGCCAGACCCAGCTCATCCTTGAAGGCCAAGTACAAATTCACCTTCTCAAGCCTGCACTGGGGGTGGGGATAAAGGGGGGGGTATAGCATTCATTTACACTTGAATCATCATGAAAGGTAAACAGACCCCCCCAATAAAAGAACACAAACTACTACTCAGATTTTTTTTTTGAATAAATTTATTTATTTTATTTATTTATTTTTGGCTGCGTTGGGTCTTCGTTGCTGTGCACTGGCTTTCTCTAGTTGCGGCGAGCAGGGACTACTCTTCGTTGCGGTGCGCGGGCTTCTCATTGCGGTGGCTTCTCTTGTTGTGGAGCATGGGCTCTAGGCGCGTGGGCTTCAGTAGTTGTGGCACGTGGGCTCAGTAGTTGTGGCTCGCAGGCTCTAGAGTGCAGCCTTAGTAGTTGTGGTGCATGGATTTAGTTGCTCTGCGGCATGTGGGTTTTTCCCGGGCCAGGGCTCGAATCGTGTCCCCTGCATTGGCAGGCAGATTCTTAACCACTGCACCACCAGGGAAACCCTACTACTCTGATTTTAACTTTGTAAAATAAATCTATGGACAGTAACAGGTGGGGTCCAGAAACAAATTTGGAAGATTTTAAAACACTATTTAGGGAATTCCCTGGTGGTCCAGTAGTTAGTACTCCACACTTCCACTGCAGGGGGCATGGGTTCAATCCCTGGTCAGGGAACCAAGATCCTACATGCATGGCCAAATAAATAAATAAAACTTTATTAAATTTTGTGAAATTTTCTCTTAGGTTGCATAAGTTAATTAATCCTCAAGATTCCTAATAAAACTAGACATCCAAAGTTAGAGGAAGGGGAAATGATTGAAAGGGATTAAAAAGAACTAGAAGCAACATTACCATCTTGGTAACAGATTCCCAGAATATAAAGCTTTCTCCCTGTTTGTGGAAGTCTTTTTTTTTTTTTTTTTTTTTTTTTAAGTTTTTTGACCGCATGGCATAAGGGATCTTAGTTCCCGGACCAGGGATGGAACCCGCACCCCCTACAGTGGAAGGGCGGAGTCTTAACCTCTGGACCACCAGGAAAGTCCCGTGGAAGTCTTTTGTCGTGATTGTCTCATGCCTGGGCAAGTCACTTAACTTCTCTGAGCCTCAGTTTCTTCAACTGCAAATGGAGATAATAAAAATCCCTACTCCTAGCAGTTACTA